ACTGGGGGGTATGTTGCCCCTGTCTGTTGGACTTTTGACAGTTGGGTGGTATCCCCCATTTTAGTATATGGGAGGGTAAGTGGGGGGTAAGGTAAGCGTAGGGAAGGAGGAAGAGGGTCTGTCCGTCGTCCATGTGTCTGTCCAGCCGGTGTAACTCCCTGTCATTAGGTATGGAGCAGTGTCAGGAAGTCTTGTGTCGTCGTGGTCAATATCCAGTGGGTCCAGATGTCTAAGTATGTCTGATGTTGTTTTTCAGTAGCTGACATGGCGAGCTCTTCTACCGCTCGTAGCTCTTCCATCTGCGTAAACCATTTAAGTATGGAAGGAGTCTCTGTTTTCTTCCAGTATTGTGGTATAGTCTGCTTGGCCATGTTTAGAATTCGAATTGTAAGGGACTTTTTGTATTTAGAAATTGGTATAGTCGTGTGGTGGAGCAGCATTGCTGCCGGGTCTAATGGTGGTGGGTTATCGGTGAAGCGGGAAGCTATTTTATGAATTTTCCTCCAAAATGGTTGTACGAGTTCGCATGCCCACCAAGTGTGTAGGGGTGTACCTGTTGTCTTTGCGCACCGCCAGCATAGGCTTGACATTGCGTGAGTATTTTATATGCTGTCTCCTGACTCTTGCTAAAAATGGAGCAATGGTGGGTGACCTCACAGATCTTTTCCCAGTCAGCCCCACTAAGTGTGTGATTGAGGGCCTCTTCCCATTTCCCCATGAAGCGTGGCGCGGCCATGGGTGTGAGTGTTTGTAGGAGGGCGTAGAGGTGCGAGATGCCATGTGGCAATGGGTCAGGGTCTGCGCATATCTGTTCATAGGCGGTGAGTTCCCTAGTAATGGCTCCTGCGCGGGGCAGGGTCTTTATGTAGCTCATCAGCTGTGCGTAGTGGAAGTGGGTTGCGAATGGTTGTGTGTGACCCCCGCATAAGTCAGCCAAGGTCCTCAGCCCCCGACCGGAGCACACATGGTGCAGCCTTGGCATTGGGTCCTGCACCAGGGCCTGCAGTGCCCTAGGGTCCGTGCCCCGCGGGAAGTCAGGATTATGTGTGAGGGGAAGCAATGGGGACGGGTGTGCGGAAAGCGCGTGTCTACCCTTCCCTTCCGTCCGTCCCCGCGGGGAGCCACGGGATAAGGGCGGCTGGGAGCTTAGCTATCCCCTCCTCTGCCTGTTTCCATAGTTTGTTGACCCCTGTCTTGGACCACTCCGCAACACGTTGCAGGTGGCATGCCTTGTAGTATAGTCGGAAGTCCGGTAGAGCCAGACCCCCTTTGTGTTTGGGTTGAGTTAGCAGTGTGTATTTCAGTCTGGGTCTCCTCCCGTCCCAAACAAAAGCCCCTAGAGCCTGCCGGAGCTTGGCGAAAAAAGAGGATGGGATCGTGATGGGCAGGGCCTGGAAGAGGTAGAGCAGTCTCGGTAGAAAGTTCATTTTTATTACTTGGATTCTACCCAGCCAGGAGATGTGCGGGAGGGCCCAGTCCCTCATGTCTGTACGGAACTTAGCTAGTATCGGAGCGAAGTTCGCTGTGAATAACTCCGATTCCTTAACGGTCAGCCAAGTGCCGAGGTATCGGATTTTGTCTGTGGCCCATTGGAACGCGAAGCTCCGTTGGAGCTGTGCGGATCTCCTTGCGGGGATGCTTAAATTTAAGATATAGGACTTTGAGAAGTTAATCTTGTACCCCGAAAGCCCTCCAAAGGCCTGAAACTCCTGCACTAAGTTGGGAAGGGAGACTTCCGGGTGGGTTATGAAGAATAGTAGGTCATCCGCATAGGCGGCTAGCTTATGGTGTGTGTCTCCTATGTGTACCCCCTTAATGTCTGGGTGGTGACGGATTGCGGTTAGTAGGGGTTCTAAAGCCAGAACGAACAGTAGTGGGGACAATGGACACCCCTGTCGCGTGCCGTTGTATATCGGGAACGCCTCTGTGGGTGCCCCGTTGACCAGCACATGCGCCGTCGGGTGAGTGTATAGGGCCCTAACCCATCCACGCAGGTATGGTCCCATTCCCATGTGTGACAATGCCTGGAACATATACTTCCAACAGACCCTGTCAAAGGCCTTCTCTGCATCCGTGGATAGCAGGAGAAGGCCTGTGTCGTCCCCTGATTTTCTGTGCATAATCGTGAGGGCCCTGATGGTGTCATCTCTGGCTTCCCGGCCCATCACAAACCCCACCTGGTCCGCATGGACCAGAGAGGGCATGTGCTCCTGAAGCCGGGTCGCCAAGACCTTGGCCAGTAGTTTAATGTCATTGTTTATGAGGGATATGGGCCGGAAGCTCCCGCAGTGCTCCCTGTCCTTGCCCTCTTTCGGAATTATGGTGATATGGGTCATGAGTGCCTGTGTGGGTAATTCATGTCCCTCTCTGATGGCGTTGAACATGGCCAGTAGTGGGGGATACAGGGTCTCGGCATAGCTTTTATAATATTTGAGAGGCAGGCCATCGGGGCCTGGACTCCTACCCGGTTTCATGGATTTGATGGCGAGTGCTAGTTCCCCCATGGATATTGGTTCGTCTAGTTGATCTGCCGTGTCCGCCTCCAGGGAGGGAAGCCTATGGGTCTGTAGGTAGTCGTCTATTGAGGCCCGTAGGGAGCGTGACTGTGCGTCTGTGTGGGGGCGTGGGAGGGAGTAGAGTTCCGCATAGTATGTGCGAATAATTTCTTGGATCTTGGCCGGGTGTCTGTGTAGGACCCCTGCCTTGTCACGGATTCTATCTATATACGTGTCTTGTCTCCTTTTGGCCAGCATGCGCGCTAGAAGTTTTCCACTTTTGTTTCCGTGTATTGCAAAGAAGGCCCTGTTTCGTAATGCGTCCCTTTGATAAGTTGAGTGGAGGAGAGTGGTCAGTTCCCTCCTAAGGCGGAGGAGTTTGGCCTGGTGTGTGGGGAGTTGGTGTTGTTTGTTAAGTGTGTCTGCTTGTTCTATGTCTGATAGCAGAGCGGCCATGCGGGCCTCTCTCTGTTTCTTCAGGAGTGAGCTTTTTTGAATAAAATGCCCCCTTATGACACACTTGTGTGCCTCCCCGCGTATGGTGGGGGGGGTTTGTTCGCAGGTGTTGTTTGTGAAGTAATCCCGCAGTGTCTTCCCAATGTCAGATGTGACCGTTGGGTTAGTGAGCAGTGATTCATTTAACCTCCACTTGGAGATCTTGGGTCTATGGAGGGGGGAGTGTAGTTTAATGGTCACCGGTGCGTGATCTGACCATGTCACGGTGCCCTGGTCTGCCTGTAGGACCAACGGTATGTGGTGACTGGGAACTAGGAGATAGTCTATGCGGGTGTAGGAGTTATGGGGGTGGGAGTAGAAGGTGAAGTCCCTTTCGTCAGGGTGAAATGCTCTCCAACAGTCCACTAATTTCGCTCTAGTCAGGAGAGCTTTAATGGCCATAAGGTATTGCAATGAAATGTGTGAGTGACCTGAGGAGGAGTCCCATTTGGGGTCCAATGTTACATTCAGGTCTCCGCCTATTATCAAGATGCCTTCTTGAAAGCCTACAAGTGTGCGGAGCGTCTTGGCCAGGAATTTATATTGCCCGCGGTTAGGGGCGTAGAGATTGGCAAAGGTATATGTTGTGTTCGCGATCGTCCCCTTGAGGAATAGGAAGCGGCCCTCTGGGTCTGTCAGGACCCCTGTTTCTGTGAAGGGGAGGTGTCTATGTAGGAGAATCGCCGTGCCCCGTGACTTACCCCCCTGAAAGTCGCTGTAGTATCCTTTTGGATAGTGTTGGTTAGTCAGTGTGGGTCGTGAGCCTGCCCGGAAGTGGGTCTCTTGTAGAAACACTATGGAGGCGTGAGCCACCCTGAAATCCTTATGAGCCCCGGCCCTTTTTTCTGGCGTGTTGAGTCCCCTAGCATTCAGCGTGAATATTGTGAGGGGGGCCGGTTGCAGGGACATGCTGGATTTGAGTCTATCACTCAGAGGTGACGTAGGTTCGTCCGTCCGTTAGTCAGGTATAAAAAGTCCGTCCTGTAGTCAGGTATAGAAGGTATGGGGTGGGGAAACTCGGGGGAAAACTGGGTAGGTCTGAGGGAAAGAAGGGGAGGATCGCACCCTCTAGGTCTAGGGACCGGGTACGGATTAGTGTCGCCGTATACGGCGGGTTATGGATTCGAGCGTTGGGGGAGCAGTGAGTCCCCCCCTCCCTCAGGTAGGGGGAGTGCACCGCGCACCCAAGTCTGAACGCTCCGGCCAATAGGGTAGCAAAGGAGCCCAAGAAACCCCAAGTAGGCAGAGCCCCGCGGGCCCGGGACGCTCCCAGAAAGATCGTCACGTTCCACTAAGAGCCCCGGAGCTCCGTCCAGTCGGGACATCCCGTTTCCCCGTCTCATGGCTCTCCAAGTTGGGAATGTAGCTTATGGAAAACCTCTATAGGCTAATGTGTGCATGGTCTGTGTCATGACCGCTGCCGGTGGGTCGTCTGGCCCACAGGTGTGACGTGATGTTGTTAGTCTATATTGAGTTGCCTGCCCGCCGCCCCCAGGTGACATGAAATGCCCCAGTCTGGGTCTATTCCCTCCCATTTGGGCGATAATCGCCCTAGTCATGCGGATGTGTGTCAGGGTGACCCTACAATGGCCTGTCTTAAAGCCCTCGCCCAGCCCTCCGTGCAAAGGTTCGAGGGAAGTTAGAAAAGCTTGATCCAGTGCGATGGGCTCCTCTGACCCCCGTGAATGGCTAGGTGGTGGTAGCCTAGAGCCCTCCCAGCGCATCTCAGCATAACCTGCCTGGGGGCCACGTATCTTGGTGTGTCTACGGGGGTTGGCTGGGTGTATACCTCGGGGCCTACTACTCCTAGGTCATATTCATATACATAAAGGTCCAGGGCTCAAGAGCGTCCATCCCCTTCTCCCTGTACCCGACCCATGCAGGGAGTGTCACTCTATCCGGCGTAGGGTCCCCCGGTTCCTCCCCCTCCCTGCTCGGCTCAAAGTTCTCGGGCAGTGGGGAAGCACGGTACTCCCATGCCCCCCCACCTCCCGGGGTAATACTTGCGGCATGGGCGAGGAAAAAGGTGCGTTGTCATCAGGTTCAAGGGTGGAAGTCTACGGCCCCTCCGCTTCCTCACGAACATAGGGCCCGGAGGTGAGAGCCCAGCTGTATGTCTCTTGGTTGGTGCAGTAAGGTTTCAAGGCGTCAAGAAAAAACAAGTCATCCCGTTCATGGCATGGTTCACGAGGTCATAGTCCCGGGGGGCGGCAGGGCAGGCGGCTTATCTAATTCGGTGTCCCCGCCTGTCTTGTAGTCTGTGTGCGGGGGGCCCGCAGCCTGCGGGGTTTGGGGCCTGTGCCTGGAGGCCTGGGGCCTTCTGTGTAGAAACGTAGCGGGTTCGGCCAAAGAAGCTTCTCCGGCGACAGGTGCAGCTCACGTTGGATCGTCTCCAGATCTTCTGCTCCCGTGACCATGAAGGGGCCAGAGGGTGTTGCAATTTGAAGGCCCGTGGGGAAGCACCAGCGGTACCTGATATTTGCGGTCTGCAACTGCCTGGTAAGGGGCTTCAGGGCCCGCCGGTAGGCCAATGTAGCTGGGGACAGGTCTGGGTATAGCTGGATTTCTGATCCGTCTAGCAGTACCTTTTCTGTGGCACGTGCCTTACGCAGGATCTCCTCCTTGAGCTGGAAACTCTCCATGCAGCAGATGATATCTCTTGGGGGCCCGCCCGGGGGTCCTTGTGGCCTCAGGGCCCTGTGGGCTCTAACGAAGCCCATGTGCGTCTGGGACGGCCTAGCTAGGAGCCTGTTGAACAGCTCCAGCAAGGTGCTCTGTACCGGGGCTTTACTGTCTAATTCCTCTGGGACCCCTCTCACCCGGATATTCTGGCGTCTCCCCCTGTTGTCGAGATCCTCTATATGCAGGGCCATCTGTCTCATCACTGTAGTGTGGTGCTGCAGCGTGTCGGTATTGGCAGCCTGTGCCGCTGCCATGTGGTCACAGTCCGCCTCGATCTGAGCGACTCGCTGGTTGAGGCCTTGGAGGTCTTCCCTCAGCGCGTGGAGTTCCGTCGTGATCGATGTGCGCAGTTCTGCGTTGGCCGTCCTGAGGTCTGCCTTGGTGGGTAAGTCCTTCAGTAGGGCCACCAGGTCTGGTACTGCGGTATCCCCTGCAGTGGGGGTCTGTTCTCTCGTAGGGGAGTGTGGGGAGAAAATGGCCGACTCCATGGAGTCATTTGAGGCCTGCGGATCCATGTCCGCCTGTGTGAGCAGGTAGCGCTTCATTGTCGGGGTCGGGGTTCCCTTTGGGGCATCCCCCGGTCGTTGGGCATGTGAGGCTCGGTGGGTTTTCCCCATCACCGCGGTCAGGGTGCAGTTTAGCCGAGGTTATGAGCTGAGCCTGCGGGGAGCTCGAGGATTATGCTGCCATTTTCTCGGACCGCCAAGCCACGCCCCCCGTAAACCAGTTTTAATCCTGGAAGGTAAGGCAGTACCTGCACACTCCTGCCTCCATAACTTTAATGAAGTGAAGTTTTTATGCTAGTGTGAGTGTTTCTTTTAACACAAATTATAGGTGGTCTTCTTCAATGATGTAAATTCCAGAGAAGTGATCCTTCCTGTTAATGAGAGCTAATTGGAGGTAGACTTGCCCCATCTGCTGTTGAGTATGCCAAGCCTGCTGAGATAGGATTACTGATGTAGCTATTCCAATAAATGCAACCCACTGATCTTCTGCAAAGCAGTATCCAAAACACTGGCCAAAACTTAGATTTTCTATGGATATACTCATAAGGGTATGACTTTTCTCTAATTTCAGGGTCAGAGTCAAAGTGGAGGACACGGACCAGGTGGAGGAAAAAAGGACGACAAGGTACATAACTGAACATTTTTCTCCAGTACTGTAGATGTCATGTTTTATGATCTAGAAATAATTGTGGGTGCCCTCTTCATTAAATCTAAAGGACAAGAAGAAGAAATATGAACCCCCAGTACCGACCAGAGTGGGCAAAAAGAAAAAGAAGACGAAAGGTCCAGATGCTGCCAGCAAACTGCCTCTGGGTATGTAGGAATTGTACAGCTTGATTGCCGTCTAACATTGCCTAATGCTTCTAAGGGATTATTCACTGAACAGTGAGGTTTCTTTGCAGTGTCTAGTGCTATTAGGGGCTGATTTGTAAAGAGCTTACCTGTACCCCACATATTTACCCATTTGTTTATTTAAAGGCATAATGTAGTTAGGATTAGCATAGAACAACCCATAATGCCTTATTTAAAAGCATAAGACTATTTTCGATAATAAAGTTTGTTTTGTGGGTTCTGTAGTCGGGAGACTACCAATGTTGATCACATCTTCTGAAGTAGTTATATAAGCAATTTAAATTCAGGATAACTTAATAAGTTAGTCCCAGAATTAACTAGAGACTCCCGAGATGCCAAAAAACGCAAACCCGTCTTTCAAATAATCTTTTTAGAAGGGATGTTCTTCTATGGTAAATTTCATAGTCCTGCTGATCACCTTACATTAAAGGACCACTCTAGGCACCCAGACCACTTCAGCTTAATGAAGTGGTCTGGGTGCCAGGTCCAGCTAGGGTTAACACATTTTTTTTATAAACATAGTTTCAGAGAAACTGCTATGTTTATAAATGGGTTAATCCTTCCCTCAAAGCCTCTAGAGGCTGTCTCATTGACAGCCGCTAGAGGCGCTTGCGTGGTTCTCACTGTGAAAATCACAGTGAGAGCACGCAAGCGTCCATAGGAAAGCATTGTAAATGCTTTCCTATGCGACCAGCTGAATGCTCGCGCAGCCAGCCGAATGAGCGGAGAGGAGGAGGAGGAGGATCGGAAGAGTAGAGCTCCCCGCCCGGCGCTGGAAAAAGGTATAGTGTTTTCCTGGCACTATAGTGGTCCTTTAACAAACATAAATATCCATTTTTGAGTGATTTGTTTTTTTTTCTCCGGTTCTGTAGACAGCCACTAAAGGAGGACTTAACCCTGCAAGGTAATTATTGCAGTTTCTCAGAAACTGCAATAATTACCATTGTAGGGTTAAGTGACATGGAACATTGCACCCAGACCACTTCAGCTCACTGAAGTGGTCTGGGTGCCTACAGTGTCCCTTCAATAGCCATTAGAAAAAACAAAACTGCCACACAAAAGTGTGTATGTATATAAAGTAGACATCACGGGCTATTTACCTAAGAATATTTTGATACTTTTTACTTTGACTAAATAGATTTTAACATTAACACAAATAATAAGGTGTTTTTTGTCAAACTTTATTTTTGACATGGAAGTGAAAATAAAAAAAACTTAATGAGTGGATACATTTTACTTCCTCCTGTTCACACTTTCTACCTTATATTTTTGGCTAGGGAGATTTTGTTACATAGAAGCTGTTAGTAACAGTTTTTATAATAGTTATTTAACTCCCACAGTGGCCACTATATTACTACCGTGTGACTACTGCATTTTTTGCCGATTAGCAATTGATCCTATTTTTTATTTTTTAATATCACTGTACATACACTTCTCACTTTAGTTTGTTTAATTTCTCCTCAAGAGGGACCAATAAAGATTTATTATTTTTTAGTTCCCTTTTATGCCCTACACTGGTGGAGCAGCTCTAGTCGGGGTATAGAGTCTGATTTTGGGGGCACTGTCTTAGTTAACCCATCTCAGTCTCTTCATTCTCTACTCCTGTACTTTTCTCATGACTAAAATCTCTCTATCCTTCTACTCACCTGTCTCTGCTGACACCATCTTCATTGCTCCAACTTCTACTATCCTGCTTCCCTCCCCTCTCTATTCATCCCACACACTCTACTTATACCTTCACAGCCTATCTCCACCAACTTCATCTAAATCAGTGGTTTCCTCAAGTACCCCCTACCAGTACATGATTTAGGGATTACCCAGATGTATAAGGTGCTTCCCCCACCCCCTTCCCTCTCTTTCTCCTCATTTAAAATTCATTCGATTCACCTTTTCAAACTACTAGTACTACAGTACCCATCCTAAAAAAAAAAAATCTCTTGACCAGTCCTCCCCTTCTAACTATCAGCCCATATCCCTGCTCCCCCTTTCCTCAAAACTTCTGGAGTGACTTGTGTGGCTTGCTTCCTCAATTCTAACTCTCTGTGACCCTCTTTAGTCTGGCTTCCGCCCCCTCCATTCTACTGAAACTGCTCTTACTAAAGGGACACTGTAGACACTTAGACCACTTTAGCTCATTGAAGTGGTCTGGGTGCAAACTCCCATCACCCTTAACCATGAGCAGGTTATTATTTCCGTTTTTATATAATTATCAGGCAGCGTGGGGTACCCCACTTGTATGATTTATTGTGAGCAGAAAGTTCCGTAGTCAGAGGACGCAGAGTTCTTCTCCAGTCCAGTGTCGATTTTTGGATAGGTCCGGATAGAATGTTGGGTTGTGTTCCTCAAACCGGCATGGAGACTTATTATGAACAGCAGCCATGAAAGTAAGGTGCTCCTGTCCGTTCTGGAATCGAATAATGACATCCCTGTTTGACCCCACATTGGCCCTGGGTGAGGCTGGAATTCTGTACCAGCTGTCTAGCAGCATAGCTGTAGCCTGTTTAGCAGGGAAGAGGTGTTGTAGCAGTCACCTGAAAAAATTAGGAAGTTTGGTAGCCGTAATGTTGTCTGCTATCCTTCACATTGTTCCACCTCCTCTTGTCCTCCATTACTGCCATGCGGTCTTGTGCGATGGCATGGTCGCGTTGCATTGCTTGCACGGTCTTATCCAGGGTAGTGAGTCTGGTGTCATGAGCCGCTGTAGTCCGCTCTGCCTCATGGAGAAAAGTGGACATCCCTCCAATTTCCTCACAAATCTGGCCTATGTCGGCCGCAATGTTCCGCCGGAGTTTGGCCTCTTAGCATACCCTCTGTCACCGGCGTGCCCATGTTAAGGGTGTTAATTCTCTCACCATCTGGGCACATATAGTTCCCAAGTCATCCAGGGAAACCTCACTAGAAGATCGGGAGGGCCCATCAGAGGGAGACGCCATGACTGGTTGAAACAACCAATATCAGTGGTCGCTGATGGTTTTTCTGCTTTGTATTTTTTTGTTTTTGTGGTAGCTTCCCTACATTTCTTTACTGATTTGCAGGTACGCAACTTATTGGTCTTTCCGCTCTGCCAGTGACCTTCTCCTGTTCACTGCTTGCATCCTTACTACTAACGCATGCTTGTGGGTTGCTCCTTTTCTTTGGAACAGCCTGTCTGCCCCCATATCAGACTCTCCTCTAGTCTTTAATCATTTAAGAAGTCCCTCAAGATCCATCTCTTCAGAAAAGTTGACAGTTTCCCATAGTAACTTCTGTTTCACAAACCTATCTCTTGCTCTAGTGCAGGCTTCCCCAAACTCCGGCCCTCCAGATGTTGCTGAACTACAACTCCCATGATTCTCAGCCTATCTAGTCCATTCATAGAATCATGGGAGTTGTAGTTCAGCAACCTCTGGAGGGCCGGAGTTTGGGGAAGCCTGCTCTAGTGGATGAGAGACTCCGACTTGGGTTGTTCGAGCTGCCTTATTGCATTACCAATATTTGTCAGGCACTGAACTCTGCATTCTGGTGGGGAGTGTTGTTTGTTTTGTCTCTTGCGCTCTTTTAAATGGAATCAGTCTTTCCTTACAATTCTGCTACTTTACCACCTTCTTATCGTTTGATTGCAACCCTCCTGATGCCATTCCTATTGTTGTTGTGGTTTTTTTTAGTTTTGTTTTTTTAATACCCCCATCTCCTCTAGACTAAACTGTAAGCTCGTTTTGAGCAGGATCCTTGTGAACCTTTTGTTCCTGGAACCTTGTGTAATTCTCGTTTTCTTGTTAAATTGCCCCCCTTATAATATTGGAAAGCTCCACTGAATAAATTGCTATATGAATGCCAAAAACAATACTGCTGGCCATGTATGGAGAGATAGCTTAAGCAGTAAAAACCTGAGCAACTTGACCATAACCATCTATATTCCACAATGTGAAAGACCTAATCCATCCTCATTCATAAATATTAATGTGTTCTTTACTGATTCTATTCTATGTTTCTCTCCTTCAGTGACACCACATACCCAGTGCAGGTTGAAGTTGCTGAAACTAGAAAGGATTAAAGACTATCTTCTTATGGAGGAAGAGTTCATTAGAAACCAGGAACAGATGAAGCCACTGGAAGAGAAGCAGGAGGTAATACACACATTCTGTGTTTTTGATAGTGTAGGTTACAGGCCGATGCTGAGGGACCCAACGCATCTAGCATAGGTATAACATGTAGGTTATTGTACTGTGAGTCCATGTTTTATAAATCCTTCCACACATAAAGTAGATGGCATGGCTTCTATTACCTTTCCCAAACAGCCTGAGAATGTTACTCTACTCTCCAGACAGAAAAATCCTTAGAAAGTAGTTTTTTTGTTTTCTTTCTCCAATTTTATTGAGTAATTTACAAAATACTGTATATACTCGTGTATAATCGATCTCATGTATAAGTCGAGGGCAGTTTTGTGACCAACAATTGTGAAATATGCTATGCCTCGTGGATAAGTTGAGGGTAAAACTTGGGGCTATGAAATTCTGTGATGTTTAGAATCATATACAAACACACACTCTGCCTTACACACACATACAAACAATCTGCATTCTACACACACACTCATACAAACACACACACACTGTGCATTATATACGCACACACTCTGTGTGTGTGTTTGTATGTATGAGTGTGTGTGTAGAATGCAGATTGTTTGTATGAGTGTGTATATAATGGAGAGTGAGTGTGTGTGTGTGTGTGTGTGTGAGAACTGGGTGGGAGGAGGGCATTTTTATTTTAAGATTTTTTTATTGTATTTTTTTAAATTTAATTTTCGTCCCCCCTCCCTGCTTGTTAGCTTGCCAGGGAGGGGGGCTCTCAATCCCTGGTGGTCCAGTGGATGGGCTGTGCAGGAGGGTGGCTGACAGTGAGCGGTTACTTACCTTCCTGCAGCTCCCTTCTACTCCGTGCAGCTCCTCTGTCAGCTCCCACTGTAAGTCTCGCGAGAGCCGCGGTGACCCCGCGGCTCTCGCGAGACTTACAGTGGGAGCTGACAGCGGAGCTTCACAGAGTAAAAGGGAGCTGCCAGGAGTTGCAGGAAGGTAAGTAACCGCTCTCTGTCAGCCCCCAACAGGACTGCCGGGCTTGTAATGAGCCCGGCGGTCCTGGTCTGTATTATGGCAATGTAAGTTGCCATAATACAGACATTAACTCGAGTATAAGTCGAGTGGGGGTTTTTCAGCAGAAAAAAATGTGCTGAAAAACTCAACTTATACTCGAGTATATACGGTAAGCTGCCAATCCTGGAATTCACAGCGCAAACCATAATTCAGGATGTATTATAACGCAGCATCCACTCCAGCCTGTTTTTCTGAATAATTGAAATACCCCCGGCACTAAATGTCATGTATGTATATCTCTCTCGATCTATCACCCAAAGAAATTCTATTGTTCCATTGTGGGTTTTCTTGTTTTGTTTGTTTTTTGTAGGAGGAGAGGTCAAAGGTAGATGACCTGAGAGGAACCCCAATGTCTGTTGGTACACTGGAGGAAATCATTGATGATAATCACGCCATTGTGTCCACATCAGTGGGATCCGAACACTATGTCAGTATTCTCTCCTTTGTGGACAAGGACCTACTGGAACCCGGCTGCTCTGTGTTGCTCAACCATAAAGTGAGTTCCTAAAATTGCTACATATTGAGAAGTTGTTCTTTAACTTTTGAGTTTTTTTTTATATTTATTAAAGAGATAATCTAAGCACAAAAACAATTTTGGCTTAATGAAGCAGTTATAGTGCCCCTGCAGTCTTACTGCTCAATTCTCTGACAGCCCTAGCTGTGACTGTCACCACCTCCATGGAAAAAAATGGTTTTATATTTAATCAGATTAGGTTCATGTTCAATTAGTACAGTTTATTTACTTTAGAAGTTCTTATCTCCTGCTCTGTTAATAGCCACCTTTAAAGTTCAATTAACAGAACAGCTCAAATCCTAAATGAAACACAAAACTTTAGATGCCAGTAGGGAGGCTGCGTGATTCTCAGCCTGGAAATGTTGTTGGCACTACATAAGCAAAGTGATTTAACTCCTAAATGGCAGGGAAGTGAGCAGTGAGACTACAGGGGCATGATCTGTATACCAAAACTGCTTCATTAAGCTAAAGATTTTTTTTGGTGCTTGGTGTCCCTTTAAATAGGAACTCTTATTTTGGCATTCAACGCATTGGGTGCAGTATGTCAATTGGTTAAAGAAACACTATAGAACAGGTATAAAAATGTGTATTCCTGACCATATAGTGTTTAAAAATGCAGTGTAGCCTCTCTAGCCCATTTTACAAACTTTTAAAAATCACCTTTAATCCAGCTCCGTGCAGGTCTGTTGGCGCTTACCCAGCCAATGCGCCTCGCCTTCTTAGCTGACATCAGAATTGATGATCTCAGCCAATCCAGTGCTTTCACAGAGGAAAGCATTGGATTGGCTGAGATTGTCAATTCTGATTATCGCAGCCAAGGAGGTGAGGTGGAGCCAAATGTCGCCTTGGCCAGTCGGCATCTCCTCAAAGATATAGATATGTTGAACATCAATGCATGTCTATGGGGAAAGTTTGGTGTCTCCATGCAGAGCACATTGTGCAGCACTGCCTCAGGAAGCACCTCTAGTGGCTGTCAGGAGTAACTGCCACTGGATGTGTTTCTAGGGAGCAATGTAAACACTGCCTTTTCTCTGAAAAGGCAGTGATTACATGAAAATGCCTGCAGGGACTGACCACAAACACTGGAAGAACTACCGTATTTTTTGCTCCGTAAGACGCACTTTTTTCCCCCTCAAAAGTGAGGGGAAATGTCTGTGCGTCTTATGGAGCGAATGTGAAGCTTTACTTACCTGTCTTGTAGCGTGGGCCAGCAGCACAGCGCGCTCCATGGTACAGGAACTTCAAGTTCAGATTCCGGTTTCCGGCGGGACTGAAAGGAAGTGTGCACACTGAGTGTGCACTTCCTTTCAGCCCCACCTGAACTTGAAGTTCCTGTACCGCGGAGCGCGCTGTAAAGCCGTCCTACGCTACAAGACAGGTAAGTAATTATGTGACAAGGGGAGGGGGTACTCTATGGGACAAGGGGAGGGGGGGAAAGTGCACTATGGGACAAGGGGGGGACACTATGGGATGAGAACACTATTGGACAAGGGGAGGAGGGGTTAACAATCACCATGGGACAGAGGAAAGGGGGGTTAAAATAACTATGGGACAGGGGAGGGGGGTTAAAGATCATTATGGGACAGGAGAGGGGAGTGGGTGGTAAGGAACAAAAAATTCCTTAAAAAAAATATTCTGAACACACTGTCCCATAGTAAGAAACACTATGGAACAGTTCAGAATATATTTTTTTTTTCTGGGTTTCCTCCTCTAAAAACTAGGTGCGTCTTATGGTGAGGTGCGTCTTATGGAGTGAAAAATACGGTACATTACGCTATAGCTGCTCTGTTGACTATAGTGTCCCTTTTATTCTTCTTCTTTAAATTTTCTTCAATAATACTTATGTAAACAGGATGTTATGACACCTGGATACTTTGTTTTAAAGAAAGCGGACAGTGGATCTGCAATTCACACCCCATAAAAGTGGGTTAAGCTTAGCAATACTCTAGAAACTGAGCATAATTGGCTGTCACTTCCTGGTCAGGACAGAGCTTGCTGCAGAAGCTGCAATGCCTAGATGATTGTATCAAATATAAGAACTAATAGCAAGATTGCAGTTTTGGGTCCCATTCCACTCTTTCATTTAATGCCTTTTTTTAAAAAACCAACACAATTTCTCTAGTTTCAAAATCATTGAAGCTTTGACAGATTCAATATTTATGTCTTAAGTGTAAAGTCTGCATTATAGGTGTTGAGTCACAGTCTCTGAGTGCCAGGGAATTACAATTTTTTTTTTATTATTATTTATTTTTCTCAATGTGACAAAAAATGGGGGATAGGACCCAGACCCTTTGATGCATAGCCACTACACTGTCCTGGTGAAATTGCCAGCAAATATAGATTATATAACATAGATTAAAAAGCAGAATTTGTCTTCCAAGATGGTATCCTCAACTGTGACCTCTGTGTACCTTCTTCCATATCACACAAAGTGTGACTATGTACACAAATGCTCTATGTTGCATAAAAGCATACCTGTATAGTGACATAGCAATTCATGACAAATTTTCTATTACAGGGAAGACCACCTTTGGCACTCCAGATGTTGTGGACTATATCTCCTCTGATGCTTGCGAGCATTATGGGAGATGTAGTGCCAAAGGTTGCCTACCCCTGCTTTATAATGTAATACCAACATGATCTGATGTGCAACTTTTAAGCACTGTTGGCAGTAAGTTTCCTTTCTGACTTGGGTTTAACTATGTAGCTATCATAAAAGCATCCATTATCTAACTACACTGAACAAAATTATAAACGCAACACTTTTTCATGAGCTGAACTCTCAGATCTAATACTTTTCTATGTACATAAAAGGCCTATTTCTCTCAAATATTGTTTACAAATCTGTCTAAATCTGTGTTAGTGAGCACTTCTCCTTTACCGAAATAATCGATCCACCTCACAGGTGTGGCATATTAAGATGCTGATTAGACTGCATGATTAATACACAGGTGTGCCTTAGGCTGGCCAAAAAAAGTGACCTTTTATTGTGGCCAGCCTAAGGTACACCTGTGCAATAATCATGCTGTCTAATCAGCATATTGATATGCCACACCTGTGAGGTGGATGGATTATCTCGGTAAAGGAGAAGTGCTCACTAACACAGATTTAGACAGATTTGTGAACAATATTTGAGAGAAATAGGCCTTTTGTGTAGATAGAAAAAGTCTTAGATATTTGAGTACAGCGCGTGAAAAATGGGAGCAAAAACAAGTGTTGCGTTTATAATTTTGTTCCGTGTAAATTACCTGGCAAAGATATTACAAAAATAGTGTACTAAAAACTGAAACATATTTAATGTTTGAGGCTGTTCAGAATAATTATCTCCATTTACATGCTCTGATTTTTTTTTTTTTTTGCCTTGTGTTGGTCGCCCTCTGCCAAGTGTTCACATTCATTCTGTTACGTGAGCTTAGTTTTAATCCTAGGTTCTGGGGCTGTGGTTATTTATTTTAAAATTAAACACAGAAGAGCTTTGGGACTCAGGATCACATTACGGTTAACACCTCACAAAAGGTGAAGACCACAATTTGTGTTGCTTCCTATTAATTGTGGGTTTTTATTTTTTCTTTACAGGTTCATGCAGTGATTGGTGTCCTCATGGATGACACTGACCCCTTGGTCACGGTAATGAAAGTAGAGAAAGCTCCTCAGGAAACCTATGCAGATATCGGAGGACTGGACAATCAGATACAGGAAATTAAGGTAGAATGATTGTTGTGTTTCCAGTCACTCTTTGGTGACCCACTACTTTGTTATTGATGCTGGAATGTTTGGCTGATAGTCATTTATGTTCTGTTTAGGAATCTGTAGAGCTGCCCCTCACACATCCAGAGTATTATGAAGAAATGGGCATTAAGCCTCCCAAAGGAGTGATTCTGTATGGAGCGCCTGGTACAGGTAATATGACGGGGAATCAATTATCTGGTCTGATGGCTCTTTACACAATTTGTTCCATCAGCTATTTTGTGTTAAGCTTTTCATTTTCTGTTTACCTCTAGGTAAAACGCTGTTGGCCAAAGCTGTAGCAAACCAGACATCTGCCACGTTCTTGAGGGTTGTGGGTTCTGAACTTATCCAGAAATACTTGGGGGATGGCCCCAAACTTGTTCGTGAGTTGTTCAGAGTAGCAGAAGAACATGCACCATCCATTGTATTTATTGACGAAATCGATGCAATTGGTACAAAAAGGTGATTACTGACTTAAGTGTTTAATGGAGTTTTAATGGGTTGTGTCAAAAATGTCTAATACTGATCAAAGAATGTTTTTTTAAGTTGGGGACTTACTCCTCCCACAAATTCAGGCCTAATGGCCTTTCTACATGTCTAATACTGATCAAAGAATGTTTTCTTGTGCGCACACACATTGTTCCTGTTAGCTTGCCAATGTATGGATCAAAACACCATCTGATTTGTCTACAGAATTATTACAACCTTCATAAATGTGTCCCATTTGTGGGAGTTAGAAAGTCACCTGCATCCTTGCTAAGATTGAATTCTGGATTGGCATACACATCCCTCTTGCCATTAGAAAAAAAAAGTACAACAAGCATAGAATCCGGTCTTTATTCAAAAATGTTAACTTTACGTTGTGCTAGTTAAAACTGGAATTGTTGCAGATCCACTTTAAGTAGTCTCTGAATAAACATAGCTTTGTCAGTCACTTTGTTCTGATTTTCATCGAACTATAAAAATCATGTTGTTCACATTAAAAAGCCTGCCAACTCCCCTGGTTTCTTGGCGCTCCTCCATGTGTAATTATTCATGATGTCCACAGAGCATTGGGTGAGGATAAGCAGGTAGGGGAAAATAAAAAAAATCACAGCAGCTGATGGTGTCTTATGTGGTTATTTTAATTGTTATTCATCACAGTAATGTGTAGAGTGAAACATAAGACAGATGTAAAAAGTGATCTGTAAATGCATGCTTATAGTTGTATTACATAACTTAAACAAAAAAAAAAAGTTGCCCCTCTTTATCCAAAACAATAAGGATGTCATATTGCTTCCTACAGAATAATGGACATGTAATCTTATACCATCTGGGGAGCCACAGTTTGACAACTTAGTGTGTTTACACAGTGATAGATTTCTAGAACCAAGACTGAATTGTGTATGTATCAGACTCTTCACACTCTTGGGATCAATGTTTTCTACAGATATGACTCCAACTCTGGTGGCGAACGCGAGATCCAGCGAACAATGTTGGAGCTTTTGAATCAGCTAGACGGTTTTGACTCGCGGGGAGACGTCAAAGTAATCATGGCAACAAACAGGATAGAAACCCTTGATCCTGCCTTAATTAGGCCAGGTATGAATGTGTACTTATAAATTAGACTTTTGGAAATGAGATATTATATATATTATTTAATTTATACTATCCTTTCAGGTCGAATTGATAGGAAAATTGAATTTCCTCTCCCTGATGAAAAGACCAAGAGACGGATCTTCCAGATTCATACAAATCGGATGACTCTAGCAGAGGATGTTACATTAGATGATTTAATTATGGCAAAAGACGATCTCTCTGGGGCAGATATAAAGGTAAGATGGCTACAAACGTGTCAATTTATAGAGCATAACATGTCCCCTATGTGTCTGATTGAAATGATGTTTGAGTTTATATCTCAATGCCTTTGACATAAAAATACAGAAATTATCTGCATTGAGTGTATGCATATCTAGTAGGTTCCCACTCCGTACACATAGGTGCAGGGTTACTCACTACGAAGAGTTTTTTTTTTTTTTTTATGTTCTTACTGAATGTCTGTTATCTTGGTATAAAAACCCATACATCTTTGGTTTGCAGCCCCCCCCTTTCTAAAACTGTCTTTGATTAGTATGACACAAAACACCTGTCCAGAATACACCGCCTACTCCAGCCACAGGGAAATACCACTTCTGTTATCACATGTGAATCTGTCCAACTTCAATTATCTAGGGCTGAAGGATTCACGCTCGGTAAAGTGGAAATGGCGTTTCTGCATTACCAGGGGGCTGAAAGGAGCAAGGATATGAGTGGGAGATGGAGAATTGTATTTTATCACACATCTAAAATTACTTGTCATTTGTGGGTGAGGCTCAGTTTCCACTAGTTGATGAGAAGTGAAGATTTTAGCCCTGGTAGAAATTCTGTGTGCCCTTCTGGCTTACAGTGCAGAGCAACTTTCAAGGTCTGGGTAGTAGTTTAGGACTTGGAATTTTAAAGCCCAGCTAATAGCATCATAACCACTACAATTGGCTCTAAAGGTCATGGTGCTTAGTCATTTTTCAAGGGTTATCCAGATGTGAACTTCTCACATGCTGTACTACAGTGACGTCTATAAGAGACCAAGATTGTTTGTCGCTCATGCAGAGAGGTCAAACCTGGTTAACTAAACCACCTTCCAGTCTGATATACTGCACTGGCACAGGTTAAGGTTTTTCTGATCTATACAGAATAGCGTATGCAACCTTTGGCATGCCAAATGTTGTGGAATACATCTTCCATAATGCTTAGACATGCTGGCAAAGCATCAGGGATTATGTAGTCCATACGATCTGGAGTGCCAGAGGATTCCTATCCTTGCCATTAGATCAAAGTACAGTTTAGAGTGTGTGACCATAAAACCTGAATACAATGCTTACTGAAGTTGTTTTAGTGTGTAGATCATGACCCTGCAGTCTCTCTGCTCAGTTTTCTACACTTTAGAAGTTAAATCACTTTTGGTTTTGTTTATGCCACACCTCCTCTGACTTACACAGCCTCCATTTTCAACTGTTTACAGCACAGTGTGTTTACTTTAGAAATTTTAAGCCTGTTGCATTCTAATAGCAGAACCAAAAATATATTCTAAATGTATTTTTACTTTAAATTTTTTTAGCTTCTCTTATTGCTCAGTGACTTTAGCCTTTCAGGGCTGTATAAACAAAGTGATTTAACTCCTAAATGCCAGAAAATTGAGCAGTGGGTGCACAGGCATGCTATATATACCTAAACCAGCTGCTGGTATGACTTCCTGTCCTGTCCTTGCAAATGCGGAAGCATTTTCTCAGGAACGGTGATAGGCTCTTAGCCTATCACTGGCTGCCCATAGCAAGTAACTCTTGAAATATATGTACACTTCGGAACCATTACTCTCTGTGGGTGGCCAGTGATAGGCTGATACTATCAGCTTGCTTTAGAAACACACTCAGCCTATCACCACTGACCAAGGTAATAATTCTGCATTAGCAAGGACTGCAGTAGAGTAAGTCAGACCAGCACTTACATGATTAAGCTTAAAGTTAAGAATGCCGTGGACTCCAGACACCCTAACCACTTCATTGACAGTTTGTTCTGCTGACTAGTTTATTTCTGTTTTTGAAAAGAAGAAAACTCATTAACCAATGCAAATCTCTTTGCAGGCAATATGTACAGAGGCTGGCCTGATGGCTCTGAGAGAGCGGAGGATGAAAGTAACCAACGAAGACTTTAAGAAATCAAAAGAAAACGTGTTGTATAAGAAGCAGGAAGGAACTCCTGAAGGGCTGTATCTGTAAACATTTTGGGTTTTGTTTTTCATATTTTCTCACCTAAACTTAAATATTTTGTCAATGTGAAAAAAATTTAAACCAGGCAGCCCAATCACACCTTTGTATAGTTTCTTCACTAGACTGAGAATTGTGAAATGGCTGATTTTAAGCTACAATAGTTAAGCTGAAAGTCACCAAGTCACCAATTCACGTGACTTTGCAGCACTGCTATTTTAGCCTAAGATTTGCAGTCTCCTGTCAATTTCCACAACCCCCCTAAGTCTTCTATTTTACCTAGGGGCCAAGGCTTGTCTAGTGCTGCAGGTCGATACCTTGTAACTGGTGAGGTTTCACAGATTGGGCTGTCTATTGTGCAAACTAAACCACTTCTGCTGTCAAGTATTCACATTTTCAAAATAAACATTCAATGCCAGTTACTTTGTCTTTAATTGTAGTGTGTGTGATTAATTGATTCAGTCCACGGGATAGAATTTAATAGCTTAGTGTTTGTTGCAGAACTATCAGTATTTACATACTCCTAGAACTCTTATAGGAACATTCAGCCTATCACTGCCACCCATGTGTGGCTATAAATGCTTCCACATTAGCTGAAGCACAGGGGAAGAGTCAACAGACCAGAATTTGGGTATATTTCTTCAGTGTTAAATTGAAAACTTTTCAAGACTGAAAGGTAAGTTATTGATATTAAATCGTTATGGTGCAAAGACTTTCTTTTTAAAGCATAACACTCACGTCAACTATTTTATTAGTATATGGGGAAAAAAACAAACTAATTCCAACCTTTAGTACATGACTGTATCCTTCAGCTATATACATGCAGCTTGGGTCAGACAGTGTTTGAATTTGACAAGTGGCCTGATGTCTCTGCAGGGATGACCATAGAGACTGTCTGTTTTCAAACACTGTATGTATATGATTCAAGGATCCTGTCTTTTACTAAAGGAAGGAATATGTTTGTTTTATTTTTACACTTAAGTATATTTTCTTTCAAAATTGATGAAAGGATTATTACATTAAAGATTTTGAGGTCAGTTTTCCTTTAACCCCTTAAGGACACATGACATGTCATGATTCCCTTTTATTCCAGAGGTTTGGTCCTTAAGGGGTTAAGGAGAATCTTAAATAGGATTGATTCGCAAAGCTGACATGACAATGATACCTAATCTTTACTGTAGTTAAATTAAAAGTGGGCTTTTCCCCCCCCCTCCTCTCTAAACCTATTAAAGGACCACTCTAGGCACCCAGACCACTTCAGCTTAATGAAGTGGTCTGGGTGCCAGGTCCTTCTAGGGTTAACCCATTTTTTCATAATTATAGCAGTTTCAGAGAAACTGCTATAATTATGAATGGGTTAAGCCTTCCCCCTAATCCTCTAGTGGCTGTCTCATTGACAGCCACTAGAGGCGCTTGCGTGCTTCTCACTGTGATTTCACAGTGAGAGCACGCAGCGTCCATAGGAAAGCATTGTAAATGCTTTCCTATGAAACCGGCTGAATGCGCGCTCAGCTCTTGCCGCGCGTGCGCATTCAGCCGGCGGGGCGTAACGGAGGCGGAGAGGAGAGCTCTCCGCCCAGCGCTGGAAAAAGGTAAGTTTTTACCCCTTTCCCCCTTCCAGAGCCGGGCGGGAGGGGGTCCCTGAGGGTGGGGGCACCCTCAGGGCACTATAGTGCCAGGAAAACGAGTGTTTTCCTGGCACTATAGTGGTCCTTTAAGGTTGAATAGCATATAATAAGTTCAAAAATAAATAAATAGAACCGGTAATTCCTTATGAAAGCAAAACAATTGCTTATGCAGCTAGAATCACAAGTGATGTGTATTGTATACAGAATATAACAAATTACCAGATTTTGTGGGTGATACACAGACAAGAATCCAAGGTGTAATTTCACTTTAATCATAATACCGTAGTCCTTCTCTCTGGGCCAAATTATAATCTTCCAGCTCTTGACCCTGGAACATTGGAGAGTAGAAAAGAAAATCCATTAATCTATATAGTCTTGCAAATACAATCTCCCTAAAATACTAACAGGGATTTATACTATTGCTGATAAAATAAACTCACTTGGGAAGAAAGGGCTACATACATGATGATAAAAAAAAAAAAGTCAGACTCAGAACCACAACTCCCAGGATTCTTAGCCTTGCATTCATATAATCCTGGGAGTTGTAGTTCAGCAACATTAGTTTTAAAATCAACAACTAAAGGCGTTAGAGGCTACTGAACCAGAGCAGCAAATTCCTCCCACTCTATTCTATCTGCCATTAGTGAGGATTGGTCAGTCATTGAATAATGCAATTTGATTGGTGTATAACAAGCCAATCACAGAAATGTAGTATTGGCTCTATTAGCAAATAGTTCCTACATTTTCCTGTGCTCTTTGTAACTATCTAAATCACATAGCTGGTGCAGCTCATTGTATTGGTTACAATATCATGCACCAACCACTTTAACAGAAAACCAGTACTACAACCACTACAATAAGCTGTACTGAATATTGTGCTGCGACAGGAGTGTCCCTTTTAGTAGTCTATTTTTTGGGAAGTGAGTTTTATGTGTAGTTTTTAGCGCTGTTTTTTTTTTTTTTTTTTTTGACACAATGTATTGTGAAGTATCTATTACATATCCTAAAAACCTCTCCATAATGCATCCTACCACACATTCCTAATGCTATAAATGTCTCACCTCAATGACTTCAAACTGAATCCGCTCTTGTTCTGCTTTTCTTTGAACAACAACCTGTATTGAAAGCAACAATTAGGTATGCATCTCCCTCTAAATTGAACTACACAAAGATGGAGTCTGTTTGTTTAAGTGCCATAACTGCTACACGCTGTGTATTTTCCAGGTTCCAGTTTACCACATCCAAGATCAAGGTTATCCACATTTTAATACTGCTTAGTAGGTGGCTGGTCTCAGGGATCCCCAATTTGAACAACATTTCATATCTTGGGGACATTAACACTAGCTTAATAGCACTATAACCACTACATTAGCATGTAGTGGTTATGGTGCTTGGATTGCCCCTTAACTGTCCTGTGATGATTAGTGAGGGGGATCTACATTGGGGAAGTTTTGGATATTATTCATGCTATGTAGTATGAGTCCTTAAAACTGCATCCCAAATAAATGTCCTAAAGACAACCCCCAACATGCCATACTTACAAACACTGCAATCCCTGTGAGAATGGCCAGCGCAATGATGATAATAATGGCAGCAAATCCTGGAGATATGGTCTTCATGTTGATACGGGGAGGCTCATTGTCAAAGAAAAGAACTCTGATAGATTCTTGATCCACCTCCACATTCCGACCATCCAGGACCACTGTGAATTTACTCTGTTTAAGCTGAAAAGAGTTTATAAATTTAACTTCAAGGCTGTTACGAGATCAGTAGATATGCGAAGATTTACTAAAGTTTATAGCCACCTCTTTTCCTTGAGAATGAACAATACTGTTTAAGATGACCCATAAATAGAATTCCTTCCTCAGAACACAACTACAAAACTACTTTCACCATAACTTGTATGATACTGATATTGCAGCACCTAGCTCGCTCATAAGACAGTAATAAGAATGGTTTTCATACAGCAGGGCTCAGTTTTTTTTTTTACATCAGAAACACCTCTTTTCCTTAAAGGAGCATCTCTATGGGGAAAGGCTGATTGGCCAGGGCTGTGGTTGGTGGGTGCTGGTTAAAAACCCCATCTGCCCCCCCTAAATATCACCACTTCTAGCTGGTGTTTTCAACACTATATGGTCAGCAATACAGGCTTGTGTTCCTTTATCTAACACTCCTCAAAGATCAATACAGCTATTAACATTTAAATTGAAGGCAAAATTGCAACAAAGTAAAATTCAATACATTTAAGACAAAAAGGGTAAGAACGTCATAAACCCCACAGCTATTGTAAAAGAATAGGCCTCCTATTATAGCTCCCTGTACAATCTAGAGTCCAACCCATTTTATGCACATCCCGATGTATCATCCATAGCATAAGTTATGAAGGATCTTAGTTTGCCTCAATTAACCGATTCTAAGAAAATTATGTTGGAATCTTCTATATTGGAAGACGAGGGAAGCCCCATAATGCATCCCAAAACTTAAGACCAATCTCGTTGCTTAACACAGAAATGAACCTGTATGCAATATTGATAGATTCCAAGCTCAGAACTGTTCTCCCAGATATTGTATATCCAGACAGTATTTATACCCCACCATCCGGCATTCAACTACATCTGTCACTTTTTTTTAAATGTTTTAGGTAATTACCAGGCAAAATTTAGATTGCCTTCTCTTAGTGTTAAAAGCAGAGAAGGTATTTGATAGCTGGGTGGACATAGTTTATATCATGTCCACGTTTGGTTTCCCTACCACTTCTATGAAAAATGCTGTTAAGGTACTGTACAAAAAGGGAAATAGCCAAGGGGAAACTGCCCTTGAAAAAAATAAAACATAACTTCTTACAATGCACATAAACAATAGAAACATCCAAGCGGGGGATAAACAACAATATTCCTTATCATTAATACATTTTTATATGTTTGATTTATCTGCTTATAAGTTATTTTATTATAAGCAAATTTTGGGGCGGAAGGAGAGGTGTGTTAATTGGTGGTTGCTGCACAGCTGGCCAGCAATAGTGAGTAACAGTTGGACATAGTAATGGCTTTGTTTACTTTTCCCTCAATCACAGGGTCCCATTTGCTTGTAGGCAGCTGTCTGTCTGCTAGGGCACATGTTGTGAAAATACAAACCATGTCTAAACTGTGTTCGTTGTGTAATTATATATGCCAACTGTAAATCCAGTCGAGTAATATATTCCCCCCATTAACTAAAATCTCTTAAATTTTTGTAGCTAAAGCATTATTTTTTTGTAGGCAGAAAGGATCCCTGTGATTCTGACAATTACCATAGAGATGATCAGAGAGGTGAGGACTAGATTTTCAAGTGGTTTGACAAAAAAAAAAAAAAAAATAGTCGTCTCAATCTGGCTTCAAAAACCTAACCCTCCACTTGAAAATTTATTTATCGGGCCAAACTATTTTAACGTGGTAGCAGGATAAAGCTTTGCCTAATGGCCGATAGCCCCTTTGGTGCTACCACATTCATACAGGCTTATTTTCCCAGTCCTATGATGCTGAATGGGTTAACAGTGATTCTGAAATCCAAACAAATATTTTTGCCAGATAATTGGCGGCACAAGGGGTTGGGCTTTGGGTGACGTGGAGACACTCCTGTTTTTGAGAAACTGCTTGAAGACCACTACAATAATCTGTCCTCACCTTTATCTTGATTCCTTCTGTTTAAAAATAAACTGTAACATAAGAGACAATAATATATCTAGCTCATTGCAACGCTAATTACATATCAGTCCAGATTGAAATTCTTGTTACATACCTCACGCTCAATGTAATAAGCAACAGTTGCAATGTCCACCGGCTCCTTTGTCACATTTGTAGAAAATAACTTCATTGTAACTTTGTGAGTCACTTCATTAACCTTAATAAAAAAAACACATAATTAGCACATTTGTAGTTGCACAAGTGACACTTATTACCTAATAGCCATTTACTGTTGGAAACATTCCTTATGAAGGAACAATGTGTGCCTAGGGTTAATGATAAAAATTATTGGCAAGGAAAAATAGATATATTTTTACAAACAATCTTCCTTAGAATGTTAGCTCATTTGGCAGGGCCCTAAGCACCTTCTGTTCCTGCAAGTCCAACTTGTCTTGCAGCAACTACTTGTATTGTACAGCACTGCAGACATTGTAGGAGCTTTATAAATAAATCATCTCCAATTTATATTTTGAGTTATTGTTTCATTTCAAATCTAACATACTGGTGTAAAGAGCAATTTGTGGGCTGATCGGTGCACTTTTTGCGAACGTCAAAAATAAATTCTGAAATTTCACTAAGACAGGGGTAGTTGACCTTCGGCACTCCAGATGTTTTGGACTACATCTCCCTTAATGCTTTGCCAGCATTATGAGTGCAAGAGCGTTATGGGAGATAATGTCCGTAAAGTGCTGTAGTTTGCCACCCCTGCTCTAAGATATAAAAGAATGAGTGGATTGCAACTGTAATATTTATATGGGTGTTCAAATTATATGGAGTTAATCAATAAACAGTGATCCGTGGATCACTGTGTTATATGTTGAAGCAATATAAATGATAACAGCTGAATAGAAAAATCTAAGACAAATCTAGACATACAAAAATCTCATTCACTTAAGACTAGATTTTTCATTTTTCAAAGCGGTTTTCATCTCTCCAAAATTTGTCATTAAAGGGAGTGAGAGAGTGATGCAATATTTAGTTTTATTTTATGAATTTGTTTATTAAAGGGACACTATAGTCACTAGAACAACTACAGCTTAATGTAGCTGTTCTGGTGAATATAGTCTGTCCCTGCAGGCTTTTTAATGTAAACACTGCCACTAGAGGTAATTCCTCTGTCAGTGCTGGCTGAACTTTCCCCATAGAGATGCATTGATTCAGTTCATCACTATGAGGAGATACTGACTGGCCAGGGCGGTGTTTGGCTCCACCCCGCCTCATTGGCGGACGTCTTTAGAATTGACGATCTCAGCCAATCTGATTGGATTTGCTCAGATTGTAAATTCTGATGATGTCAGTCAAGGAGGCAGATCGGATGGGGCCAATGCGAGGTGCTGAAAATAAAGCAAGTTTTCTCCCTATTTAAGGGATAGACGGGCAGCTAAATAGTGTTTGTAACACTATATCGTCAGGAATACACGTTTGTGTTCCTGACCCTATAGTGTTCCTTTAAGGAAGAAAACCCTCAAAGTATGCTTTTCATTTATCCCCCATAGTGTCAGTCAGATAATGACCAGCTGTAGTAAGCATACTTGACAATGTTAAGAAAGCAATAATCAAAGAATAGGGAATCTGGTAACATTGCATACTTACTGTTATTTGTAGGATCTGCGGAGTTTTCAAGGTAAATTGTGACACTTTATTGATCAGGTTCCTGAAAGGTTTGTTGAAGAAAACTAATTTAAGATAATTATTTAAAAGGTTAAGTTACAAGAAGCAAATATTCATCATCGAGATAAATAATCAGAGCTTTAAACAACATGCAGAGAGCAAACCACAAAAATCTATCCACATAGGATGCTGCTGGAGCTGTTGTTGGAATTTAAGTAACAGAATGGTTTTACAGGCCACAAAATCTATATTCTATAATCTGTATTCTGTTACAGATTGATTAAACAAATCAGCAGTTGTTGAGATATAATAATTATTTTGTTCTTCCAGCCACAGAAACTTATGATGCTAGGTCTCTTAAAATGAGCATTCCAATCACTATAAACACTGCAGCCCACTATAGTTGTTGTGGTGCCAAGAGAACCTCCCCCCCGCCCCCAATCCCCGCACCCCACACCCACAGTAAAGTAGTGAAACCATTTAATAATACATAGAAACATAGAATGTGATGGCAGATAAGAACCATTCGGCCCATCTAGTCTGCCCAATTTTCTAAATACTTTCATTAGTCCCTGGCCTTATCTTATAGTTAGGATAGCCTTATGCCTATCCCACGCATGCTTAAACTCATTTACTGTGTTAACCTCTACCACTTCAGCTGGAAGGCTATTCCATGCATCTACTACCCTCTCAGTAAAGTAATAATTCTTGATATTATTTTTAAACATTTGCCCCTCTAATTTAAGACTATGTCCTTTTGTTGTGGTAGTTTTTCTTCTTTTAAATATCGTCTCCTCCTTTACTGTGCTAAATCCCTTTATGTATTTAAAGGGAATCAACACAGTAAAGGAGGAGACTATATTTAATGGCTCGACAACTTACCTGGGGTTCGACAGGCACCCACCACCACCACCTCTGCTGCCAGAAGCTCTGCCACTGAGCTAAATCTGGTTATGCAAGGCCACGTTTGCTGGCTTAGAGCACTCACTGGCGCTCTCAGTAGATAAGCTGTCCCTGCATGGCATGGTTAGCTCAGTGAAGCCAACAGAAGCCTGGGAGGCAGCAAAGGGTGCCCTCCAGACCCCAGACAAAATGTCAAACCATTCTTTTTTTTTTTTTTTCATCTTGGCAGAAACAGTAAGACAGATGTTCTAGCATATCAGCTTTTGCAAAAGCCTGTTTTAAATGTCAAACATTTCCACTTTGTTCCACATTAAGTCATTCAATACGGTATATTCTAACTTTGCTCAATTCTACTGTCCACCAAGGAATTTTTGCTTTTTTTTAAAGAGAAATACACTGATTATGACTCCCAGCCCTATGCAGTTCTCCTCTTGCTTGCCTCCCTATCCCAGTGTGCTGTTATCCCAAGGTTCCCATGTTCTTTGGAACACCACTGTGGTACCTTTCACCCTAGCTGTTAAATCATCCATCAGTCTACTATCCTTGATCCTGGAAATTACACCCGTGAAGTTCGGTCCCTTCGGCAACAGCCACGCTGTCGCTATTGCTCTGCATGCGCTTAATGTGATCTTGTGTAGTAGTTTCTGCTCCTTCCTGGTCCACCCCTCTAGAGGCCTGTTTAGCAGATATACCCAGGGGTCTAGAGGTGGTTTTCTATTTAAGATCTGTTGCACTAAGTTCTCGACCGATTTCCAGAATCTATTTACAATTGGACAATCCCACCACATATGTATATATGTTCCTCTAGTTCCGCAGCCCCTCAAACAATCATCTGTGCTTATTTTGCGCATTCTAAAGAGCTTCACTGGAGTGGTGTACCATCGGAACATGGTTTTCCACGACTGCTCCTGAAGTGTCACACACATCGATATATTTTTGTTTGCTTCCCAGATTTCCTGCCAATCAATACCCTCTAGAACCTCGCCTAGATCCCGCTCCCACTGGTCGTTGTAGGACAATCCCCCACTCTGTGTTTTCGGAGCTAAGATGGGTGTACATCAGCGTTATTAATCCCTTAGGTGCCTTCCCTGTTACGCACAGTTAATCAAAGAAGGTCATTGGCCCGCAGGCTGCAGCTTTAATGTGGGGTTGGCTAGCGTAGTCCCTAAGTTGCACATATCTGAAGAAGTCTGAGGTGTTAAATGATGATGTTGCTTAAGGTCGTCGAACTGTACCGTTTCTCCCCCCTGAAACATGTGATGTATCCTTTGGAGGCCTACCCTTTCTAGAGTACGGAACTCTCTTGCTGCCATGCCTGGAGGGAAGGCTCTGTTACGGAACAAAGGCATTAGTGGGGTCGATGAGGAGGCTAGTCCATATTTGATGTGTGTCGCATCCCATATACGTAGTGCGTTCAATATTGCTGGGCAGGTCATCCTGATCATCGGTCTGTGTTCCCTCGGCACCCACATCGTGAACTGTGGGAGGTCTGATCCCACCATGAGAGCCTCTACAACAACCCATTTCCGTTCATCTGGGGTAGAGTGCCACATAACCACCTGTGACAGTTGACCCGCCTTGTAATAAAAGTAAAGATTCAGCAGGCCCAGCCCACCTCGGTCCTTCCTCCTGTACAGCACCTGCCTGGAAATCCTGTGTCTCTTGTTCTGCCCAATAAAGTTCCCTTTTGCTCGTTGTAAAGGTACCAATTGTGTTTTCGTAATGCGAACGGGTAACGTCTGAAATAAGAAGAGGATGCGTGGGAGAATATTCATCTTGACGGAGTGGATCCGTCCTATCGAAGAGATGGGTTTATCTGTCCATTTTTCTAAATCCCTTATCAGTGTTCTGAACATCGGTGTGTAGTTTGTGGCGTGAAGTGCGTTTGGATCCGCTGTCAGGTGTATTCCCAAATATTTTAGGGAGCCGGTTTCCATTCGCACTCGGTACGTGTCACGCAGCCGCGCCACGTTATGCGGCGTCATCCCTATCGGTAAGGCACTAGATTTGGTGATATTTGCCTTGTACCCAGAAACTGCCCTATATTCCTTTATCACGTCCTGCAGCGCTCCCATTGAGTCCATCGGGTTTGTAAGGGTCAACATCACGTCATCCGCATATGCCGATACTTTAAACTCAATGGCTCCTACCATTACCCCCGGATTTTCGGGTGTCTCCGGATCGCCTATAAGAAGGGCTCTAGCGCAAGTACGAACAGCAGGGGGGAGAGTGGACACCCCTGTCTAGTGCCGTTGTGTAGTTGGAATGGGCGCATCTGGGCTCCTGTGATCAGAACCTGTGCCCTCATGTTGTTGTACATCGTCTTGGTTAGTGCTATGTATTCTTCTGGGAAGCCCATATGTGCCAGCAGGGTGAATAGATATGGCCACCGGACCCTATCAAAAGCCTTCTCGGCGTCTATGGAGAAGACCAGTGTAGGTGTCCCCGTGACCGTTTGTTTCCAAATGAGGTCTATGTTCCTTACGGTGTTTTCGAAAAGCTGTCTGCCAGGTATGAATCCAACCTGGTCCGTGTTGAATGTCAAACCATTCTTAAACAGTTTGGCTATAACTGTGGGAGGGCACCAGGAAGCTATAGTGTCTATATTTCTTATAGTATTCTTTTCCTCCGAGTCCCATAGCAGTACCACGAAGTCAACAGCATTCTGGGAAATGTAAAATGTGTCATGAAAAATATGCACAAATATTTTGAAAAATATGTTGGGGAAAAAAAAAATGTTATCAGACAATAGTGTTTATAAATGTTTTGCGATGGGGTATGGAAGGAGTATGGGGATGACTGACCTGCGCAAATGATCTTCTTTTCCCTTGAGGAAAGCAAAGTCTGCTTTAAAGATCAAATCAATTTGTATCAGGCTGAAACAAGAGAGTTCAGTTAATAAATTAAAGTTAAAACACACACACAAAAAAAAACCAATGTTTATCCCCTTCAGGATGGAGGCTGTTTTACAAGTTCTGAACCAAAACAAAATATGGACTTTAAGTGCACCCACATTTATGATATATAGTTTTGTTGAGAAAACACAGGGCTTTCATTTCACATCAAATATTTATTTGTGAAACATAATGTAAAATGAATAAAATATAAAGAAATGTGAGAAATTAAGAAATGTTATTTTCCAAGTTCTGCATGCAATTATAACTGTGAATGTCATAATACTATTAGCTTTTACTGCAATAAAATACACAAATCTGTGTTCAACGATGCCTCCCGAACACAACAGTAGCCCCCATATATTGGGTTTTATGGGGTTTTGGAAACTTACAGGGTCAAATAGAGGGCTTTCAAATTAAATTCTCAGCACTTTCTGTCTGGATTGTCAGACACCCCACCCACCCCCCATACATAATAAAAATCATATATGTAAAAATAATACTGTAAAAAAAAAAAACTGTATACATATACATACACACACACACAATTTTCTGTGAATCGTTTTCTCATGTTTTGATTTTTAGCAAAGATTGATTTAGCAACTAGTGATGTCCCGAACGGTACGCCGAACGGTTCGCCACGGACTCATCATTGAGTAAACTTTGACCCTGTACCTCACAGTCAGCAGACACATTCCAGCCAATCAGCAGCAGACCCTCCCTCCCAGACCCTCCCACCTCCTGGACAGCATCCATTTTACATTCATTGTGAAGCTGCATTTTTAGTGAGCTGTCCAGGAGGTGGGAGGATCTGGGAGGGAGGGTCTGCTGCTGACTGTGAGGTACAGGGTCAAAGTTTACTCAATGATGAGTCCGCGGCGAACCGTTCGGCGAACCGTTCGGGACATCACTATTAGCAAAGTGTTTTATATTACATTGTGGTGGTGATATTTTCCTCTATATATATATTTTTTCCTGTATGCTCACAGAGTGTCCCATTGGGAGCCACTCACACGGTTATCATGAGTGTTAATTAAAGAATGCACAGCTGTACTAAGCAGGACTGAGCAGCTCCCATTAAAAAACAAACAAAAAACCCTGATATTATTTCAGTTACTTTATTAACAAAGTACACATCACTGGGGAAAAGGAAAGTTAAATAGGTGATCAACAAAACAGAGACATAAATAGATTAAAATGTATGATTTGCCAAATATAGATGCTTGCTGTATCAAATTAAGAGACAGTACTTACTGAACTGCCACAAGCTTTTCACATTTTGGGTCATCACTAGTCTTATCTGTGACGCGTACTCCAGCGCTGTCCACACACCAGCAAAGATTGGAGTCTTCGTCGCATTGTTTAGACTTGAAGGCTCCACTGGACTCACATTCAGGATCATACACGTTGTCAACCTCTGGCCTTCCACGACCCGGACGGCTCTGTCCACTCCGGCTCTTGTGCAGCATTTCAAGGTGCATCAGCCGACACTTTGGGGTCACTGAGAAGGGAGAGTGCAGACAAATAGAATCATTAAGTTCTGGTTTGTGTGTATAAATACAGATGTCTTTTTAAATTTCTAGCGATTACAGAAAGAGTAAAGCAGCGGTGCCTAAAAGGTAGATCCCCAGATGTTGTATAACTACAACTCACATGATGCATGCCTTTAGAACAGGCTTCTCCAAACTCTGGCCCTCCAGATGTTGCTTAAACTACAACTCCAATGATTATATGAATGAAATAGGCTGGGAATCATGGGAGTTATAGTTCAGCAACATCTGGAGGGCCAGAGTTGGGGGAAGCCTGCTTTAGAATGACAAATCATCTTGTAAGCTGTAATTATAAAACATCTGGGGATCTGCCTTTTGGGCAACCCTGGAGTAAAGGGCCAAGACTAATCTCTCTTATGACTTGGTCATTAAAAAGACTGTGCAAAGAACTCAGTTTGGCCAAATGAGATTTCAGCAGTGGGGGAATATAAAAGAAAATGTGGAATTCTCTGTCTAGGGAGGTTGGGTTGTTATATTCTGATTTGGTTAATTAAATTATTAAATAACAATTTTCTTAGCAAACAAAGAAAAACAGTTAAATGCATTAGCAAGTATAATTACAATTAAAAATAGCATATTTGGTTTTCCATATGAATCGAATTATCTAAAGTAGAAGATTTTTAAGTCAATGTTAACATTCCAGTTAATGATAAATAACTACTCACACTGGTTACAGTTAACCGTCAAATTGTCATATCCACTGTAGACGGCTTCACAGGTCCCACAGCGATTTAGGTGACAAGTGACATATTCATTATACTGGCAAGAAGCGTCTTCACAAACTTCGTTATATTCACAATCCTCGTGAGCTGGTCTGGCGTCCGGACACTCGTCATCTTCAATGTATTGATTTATGGAAACCAAAAATTACGCCCAATAAATAGCAATGAAATTCTTCCAAAATTGTAATAAAAATATCTATTTTATGTTTCCCATATAGCAAGCCCTAGCTCAGTTTGTGTTTGTGTGATCACACATTTACCTTGGAAGCTCTGTAAGAACCACTATTGAACTAGTTTCCCCACAATGCTTTGCCAGCCTTACAGACAAAACATTTGCTGATAAAATGTATTCCTTCATTTGTGTTGGACAAAATACATGAATAAAAACAAAAAATACAACTTTTGTTAGAACTACATGGTTGATGGACCTCAATAACTGCTATAACATCAATCTGATGAGTTTAAGAGCTAAGAGTACTAGAAGATTGGATCTAAGATGAACACGATTGTGCAGCCTAAGACCCAAAATGAAAGGTATAGTATTGTTATAGGACCTTATATAATATATTTAGTGATAGATAACATTAATTGAAGAAACACCAAACCTATGGTACAATTACATAAATAGAGAACTGGGGTTTAACCTGCTAATAAGGCATTTATCTTCATACAGGGTGAATTAATGCACAGAGTGCATATCTAGACAGAGGCAGAAGCAGTAACAGTAACAGATAACAGTAAGCCTTCCCCATTGTGAATAACAGTCTAACCTTGCTGTTAATGGAGCAACAAGAGGATAATAACAATAATAATAATAGTGTGTTTGACAGATTAAACAGTAGGGGGAGCTGTAGCAATCTAAAACTGTAGCCTTCTGTATGATCTTTATCACAGTAGGAGTTACAATATGTCTCCATTTAATTCTGATGGACTCTGGGGTAGTTTGTTGTTTTGTTCTGATCGAATGTATGTCTTTACTGTTAATGTTTAGTGCCCTGTATTCACTAACAGCTACGTCAGTCAAAGGTTTGCGAGACTAGCGATATAGTCTATGCTTAGCAGTACATACTTAGTGTTTCTTACAAACCATACATTGAATTAGTCAGGCTGTTCTACTAAACCCCAAAGCTGTACTTTAAAGGGCAGCTATAGCCACCAAAACAACTTAAGCTGAATGAAGCAGTTTTTGTGTGTAGATTGTGCCCCTGCAATCGTACTGCTCAATTCCCTGCCATTTAGGAGTTATATCACTTTGTTTCTGTTTATACAGCCCTAGCCACACCTCCCTTGGCTGTGACTGACACAGCCTGCATGAAAACAAAATGGTTTCACTTTCAATCAGATGTTACTTACTTTAAAAGATTGCCTCTTCTGCTCTGTAATTGAACTTTAATTACATACAGGAGGTTCCTGCAGGGTCTAGCAAGCTATTAGCAGAGCAGGAGATAAGAAATTCTAAATTAAACATTTTCAATTAAAAAAGCATAAACGTTAGGTGACTCTTTACAGAAAGTGTTTAGGAAGGCTGTGTAAGTCACGTGCATGGAGATGTGCCTTGAACTGCGTAAACAAAGTGATTTAACTGCTGAATGGCAAAAAATTGACCAGTGAGACTGCAAGGATATGATCTATACACCAAAACGGCTTAATTAAAGGGACTCTCCAGTGCCAGAAAAACAAACCCGTTTTCCTGGCACTAGAGAATCCTACCATGCCCCCCTCCCTCCTGCCCCCCATCCCATGTTCCTGAAGGGGATAAAACCCTTTCAGACACTTACCTAAATCCAGCGCTGAGGTCCCTCGGCACTGGGTCAGGCTCCACCCATGCTCCTCTCCCGCTGACATCCACCAGCGGGGGAGACCTAATGCGCATGTGCGCCAATGGCCAAACACGTGCATTAGACCTCCCCATAGGAAAGCATTATTCAGTGCTTTCCTGTGGGGATTCCGGCGACGCTGGAGGTCCTCAAATTCGTTTACATACCTGGAAGTCCCTCTAGTGGATGTCTGATAGACAGCCACTAGAGGAGAACTTAACCCTTCAAGGTAATTATTGCAGTTTGTAAAAACTGCAATAATTACACTTGCAGGGTTAAGGGTGATGGGAGTTGGCACCCAGATGACTCCAATGGGCAGAAGTGGTCTGGGTGCCTGGAGTGTCCCTTTAAGCTAAAGCTGTCTTGGTGACTATAGTGACCCTTTAAACAATGATGTTAACAATAATATTTCCCTTCATGGTGAAACTAGGAGCACAGCAAGGTGTTTTGCTGTGACCAGATTAGTTCTGCTTCTTCTCAGTATCAGTCATTGTTTCTCTTTGCTTACAGTCCCCGTTCCCTTCCAGACCCCAAATGCTACGTTGCAGACAGTGGAATTGTCGGGAATTCTAATGTAAGGCCAAAATAGCCAAACTGGAAACATTCTCCAAGCCAGTTGTGTTTCCAATTTGTTTATTTTAGCGTATTTGAAATTCATGTTAAATATCCTACATTTCACACTAACCCTGTGAAAGTATTATATAAGGTAGCTTACAGAAAATACATATGAATTTATGAAAACCATAAGGTCATTTAATACATTCAAATAGTTCAATTAGCAAATCTTACAAGATGTACGGTAAAATCTACATAAAAAGTTTAATAACAGAAAGCTAAAACATACATAAAAAGCAAACTGTTCAATTCTTTAAAGGACCAACAACAATTTCTGCCTCTATCAATATGTGATCTGTAAAAGTTCCATTCCATAATGGAATGCTATATACATTTTAACAGCCATGTTGCAGATACTAAATAAGAAAATTCCATTTGGACATGAATACGTTAAGGACCAGATTATGGTGAGCAAAGACAATTGGTCTGTAAACTGGTAAAGCAATAAACAATCAAAATAAACTAAAAAGCATAACTTTTCTAGGGTTGTAATACATTTTGTAATAAAAACACACCAACGAATATCTTAGGCAACTCACAAGGTCTTATCTTAACCATCAGCAAGGGAACGGACATTTACCCACCTGGAACAGGGGAGACCCTTACGAAAGGCCCCACAACCAGCAGAAAAAGGAAAAAGCAGGGAAAACGGTCCTTTTCCATATGGATTTCCACCTGAAAAAAGTAACAAATACAAAACAAAGACCCTCTCGACTTCCTAATTATCAAAATTTAAACCTCCCTCTGTTCCAGTTGGTTGGAAGCAAGTTTTGCAATTATACCCAGAGGCCATACACTGTGAGCACACATATCTTAAAGTAAAGAGAGGGTCAGTCAGTGACATTGAAATCACCGAAAGCTGGGAGTCAGTCGCATCTGCAAAAGATCCCCTGCATTCAGTATATTACAATGCTTCTTATAAATATGCAGGATTAAAACACAAACAGAATGCCCTAATCTGAACACCATGATTCCTTCGACTAACAAATATACAATTATTTTTATTTAGAAAATCCCCAGTGCCGGATACATTGAGTTAAAGGTATAACAAAAACACTCAGTTTGATAGATTGAAACGAGAGACGTTCTAGAATCATGCCTATCAGTGCTGGATACATTGAGTTAAAGGTATAACAAAAACACTCAATTTGATAGATCATAATGAGAGATGCTCTAGATAGAATCATGCCTACAAGCTTGCAGTTTAAAAAGTAATGTGGCATTGGATTTAAAAAGTACATACTAAGTATGAAGCCAATTTGTAAGACTCAACAAGAGGAATGCGTGGTTAGATTGTGAATATTTTGAGGTTATACTAGCTGTGGTCAGTAGAATGCTCCGTAGGACTCATTAAGTAAGGTGGAGAAAATCTAAGGTCACATGGTATGGATTTCGAGAGACGTGGGAAAACTTGGGATTTGATGAGAGAGGCAGCTAGACTAAGGTAACTATAGTAACTAGAACGTAAGCTCACTAGAGCAGGGCCCTCTACCCTTCTGTACCAGTGTGTAGCTATGGGTACATTAGGGTAAATGTTTAAGTAAGGTCTGTTAAACATTGGCTTGTCTGTAGCACGGTTATATTCAACTGCAGATATCTGCTGGCACTATATAAAAAGAAATAATATAATGAGATGAATGAAGGAAAGGAAAGCTTAGCAATAAGTTACTGCGATATTTTAAAGAGACCAGAGTTTTGAATGATTTTCTGAGTATGGAGTCAAGGAATTAAAAACAATTAAAACCACAAAGTAACAAAAACAGTGTTCATTTGGAAACACTTAAAAGGAAACATTTATTATATATCTCTATCATTGGTGATCTACCATTTGCACATCATTGCTGGGTTGTATTTGTGCGTTTGAATTTAACCATGTTTTTGTATGGAGTATGTGTGTGGGTGGATGTAGCGGTATGTATTTGTATGAACCGTTGCTATTGGAATGCAATGGTGTATTTCTATGTAATGTTTGCGTTTGAATGTATGGTTGGCTATTAACTGCAGGTGTATGTTTGTGTGTAATGTTGGTGTTTGAATGTAGGTGTGTTTTTGAATATAATTTTGGCGTACACACACAGAGAAACAGAGATACACCCACTGACACACAGATACTGACAAAGACACCCACACATGTAATAATGTTTATATTTTTATCCACCCTCCTGTTATCATACCTTTGATGTACAGGAGGGTGGCTTCCCTGGGTCTGGACAGCGGAGGATGATAGGAGCCTGGAAGAGGGCGCTTAATACCCAAAAGGTGAGTGAGATATGGCAATTAATAAGATTCAAAGGAATCTACGTCCAAATTGGCTCAAAAAAACATTCCAAAGAGCCAACAGATGAGATTATATCAAAACTGTTCAAACAAAGAGGATTTTATAAACAGAGCTCACATTTTAAACAAAAAGTTTCTAGATAGGAACTATCCTAGAGACTTGTGTAACGGATCACCTGGCACCCCGACTGGGTACCTCCGTTAATGGATGCTCCTAGCGCTTCCTGAGGGCTCCAAGCACTCCAGCTGACACCATAACCACCGTAGACTCCTCCAGAGAGCAAGGCAGGAACAAGCTCTTACAAGAGCTTAGCAGTGAATATAGCAATGGAGTATGCAGAGCATAGCAATCCCTTGTAGCAGATTCCCCCAATAAGAGACGGCACTCCAAATTGAGGGTGAAGTAGAACTGACTGTACTGGCACATACAGCCTCTTTTATTCCCAATCCACAAACTTAGTACTGCCCACAGGGTTTTACAGAACAACCAATAACACACGTACATTACAGAAAACACTCCCAGCCATTATACACAAAATCCTCCCCTCTGCCTGTGATATAATTATGGTACACAATGGTTAACATAATTATCACAAGCAGGAAAAATACAGTTTTTATATATGTACTATAACTTTAAAAATATACATCCAATCTTCATAAAAAATTACATATTATTAATCAGCACATTTCAAATATAAACATACCCAAAAATCATTTGAATCCCTTCAGCCATTCGGGAGATAGACATAAGTCAAGTTTGACCGACCGCAAGCACATTTACATGCCCAAAACAGTTCCAGAGAATCAGGCTGTGCGGTCAGTCTATTTCCCATGTTAAAGTCAGTTCAAACAGACGAACGACAACCATTCGAATTGTCGAACTGTCGAATGGCGTTCGAACTGTCGAATGGCGTTCGAACTGTCGAATGCATTGAAGTCTGGAGAAGGTAAAACTTCAGCTGAATTAAAGATGGCCGCTGCCACGCGTTCGTTTGTCGAATGGCGGCCACTTCGACTACATCCGAAGTGCCAATTTAAAGCTGCAGAACTGCTCCAATACAATTTTAAAGGGGCAGCAAGACTTTTAAAATCCAATCTTCTAAAATAGTCTTTAACAGGTAATCTCTTCCAAGGGCTATAGTCTTAAAGGGGCATTGTTCCCAAATGTCACAGTATGTCCCCAGATGGTTCTTAAAGGGCCAGCAGCATAATAAAATACAATACGCACAAATACTGTATTAAAAGGGCCAAATCTCCCAGGGGCCATAGTCAGCAGGCAGGAGGCGGGCAAACCGGCTTCTCCAATGCCCAGTGGCGAGGTTGGTTGCGCCACAACTTGATTTCTAAAGCACAACGTGTGATAGAGTGTTGTGATAGAAAAGAAAATGTAAAGTTAAAACCTAAAAATAAAAGTCCAGACAAAGTTTTTAATATGGCATTTTTGACTAAGTACAACAGTAAAGCCAACAAGATCAAGAGAGCAATCAAAAAACGCTGGCCGATCTTCTTACAAGATAGATTCTTAAAAGGTATACTGCCAAATAGACCTAGGGTGATCTATAGGAAAACAGATCACCTAAAAATCATCTTAGCCCCTACTGTACTTCTCAGAAAAAATGAGAAAAGGTCTGATAACGAGTTTCTGGGGAAACAACCAAATGGCTTTTTTTAGATGCGGCAACTGCAGTACGTGCAGTTATCAGAAACAGAAGACTACTACTTTCAATAGCTTTAATACGGGTGAAATTTTTGAGATTACACATTTTATCACGTCACAGTAAAAACAGTATATCTTTTAGAATGTAAATGCGGAATCCAATATGTAGGCCGCACAATCCGAAAGTTACACGTACATTTGCTAGCATTTTAATGGTATTTAAAAACATAGTGATTAACACAGTGTACCTAGACACTGTAAAGGATTTTGTATGCATAGGTATAGACATAGCCATCCCACATTGGAGAGGAGGAGACAGGAGGAGTATTTTAGCAAAAAAAGAGACAGAATGGATTTACAAATCAAAAACTTCTACACAATATGATCTCATTACAGATCTCCACATTTTAGCCTTTGATTGTAACGTCTCAACAGGAATATCACACGTGCAACGGTGTGTTTTACTTATATATTTTTTACAGTATGTTTTTACTATTGTTTCTTCTTCCTATTTTTTTTGTATTCTTGGTATATACCTATACCCTATTCCAATTTATATGTACATCACCACTTGGTTTTGATATATCTGTTATACTTATAGTATATGTCCTATTGGGATTCACAATTTTTTTATAATTTTTGTGTATATGCCGCATTGTACTTTTTTTTTTTTTTTAGATAGTTTTAATTTTTTTATAATTCTTTATTTTTTGATATGCAGGTAGGTACAACAGTGCCTGTATCGCCACAACAGCATCAGCAGGCTCAATTTGTATGGTCTTGGCAAAACAGTGTTATGGCATGTTGGGTTTGCATATATTTTTTAAATATAAAACACAAAATAACGATTCAAGATTTAAGCGTTTGAGTAGTAAATATCAGGCTTAATTAGTACTTTTCTAAACAAGGCTTAACAGTTGAACCTGGGATACGCTGTAACAGTAAGTGTCCCTGTATGGTTGGCAGCTCAATAGTATGCCACTAGCTTAGCAGTGAACAGGGTGACACCTGGCATGCCGGGTGGTAAGCAGGCGTAATACTGTAAGGTTATGATGACTGGTTTGTTAGGAGGTCAACATGGCTTAGTAATAGCGTGGCACGAAGTTATGACTAACTTCTGGTTGATCAATACGTTGGCATAGAATTATGAATGGGCTGTGACACGTTTAAGCGTTTGCAGGGAGGTGCATGCTGTTTGTGATTAAGACTATTAGGTCCCATCATATGCTTCTACGTTTTATTACATGTCGCAGGGTTAAAGGTTTGGGTGCCAGGATGAGTGGGGCATGCGTGTGTATCCGTGGGAGTGTGGTACCGTATTATGCATATCTTAAGCGGGTTTAAGCTTTCCAACGGGTCACTCGAGTGAAACGTAATGGAACAGTGTTAGATTTTATGCAGTCTAGGTATTTAACAGTTATACTGAACGCTAGAAGTTATGAAAGATAGGCATAAGGGCTAATAAAACTTCACATTGGATAAAAACATTACGGTGAGGTCGAGTAGTATATCCACGTCTGGGCACTCCGTAGCATAGCCAGTCTCTGGTTTAGTCCCTGTCAGTCAGCTGATGCCAGTTCTGGAGGCTCGACTGGCGTCCCAGGGAGAAGGGCTAGGTCGGTGCCTCTGCCCGGTTCCATCTCCGGTGTGTCTTGGAGGGGCTCTCAGCGCGATTCTCTCACTAATAGGAGGCTGAGCGGGAGCACGGGTAGTATCGCGGCCATCAGCACGAGTCTTCAGACGCGAAGCGGTGTTCCGCTGTTTGGAGGGTTCCGGTACCTCTGGGTGGTAAGCAGGCCGGGCATGCTGGGTGGTCCCGCACTGGCGTGTGTGAGAGCGAGTGCTGTTGCTGGCACCTGAGGGACAAGTCATGGTTTCACGCTGTCTTGTTCTTCGGTATCGTCCCCGTTGGGAGGCCGCTCTGGAGGCTCTGGGTGGCACCGGGTTGCAGGGCGAATCCATGCCGCTACCTCTTTCGTTTGTTTGAAGGTCTGACCCTTGGTACGGAACTTTGTCCATAGGTGTGCACAGAGCCGGTCAATGAACTCCAGGGTGTGCTTGGGTGGCTTGGCAAGGGTGATCTTCGTCGCAGGCGTCGCCATCTTGATTGAGTCCTGACAGTTTCGTGTGACTGCAGGTTTTAATGCTTGTTCGAGTAGTATTGCGGGGGTATTCGTCCCCAACGAGGACCGGGATATCCCCTGCCGGTCCGTAGCAGGGCAGTGTTTGATTCTCGCTTGTAAGCGGATCCCGTGCCGGGCGATCAGCCGCCTCCCCCAGTCTTCAGGTTCCGCTGCAGTTTAGGCCGCATGGCAGGTTCAGGCGCTCGCAGTGCTTTTCGGTGCAGTACGGGTATCATTTCGTTACCTGCATGGTCCTGCATCGCTTTCCGGGTACTGTGTGCCACTGGCATAGTTAAGAAAATAGCAAAGGGAACACTCTAGGAAGTAGTGTATAAAATCCCGGAGCTGGCTTGTGGTAATGGCTCAAATATTTTATTACAAAGTATATTACTTAGAGCAAGCACCAGCTACCCTGTATTGGATCAGGAATAGAGATACTTGCACTGCACATTTATTTTTTGCATACTCATTGATCAATTTATTTTCCACTCAGTGACTTGTATTTTACTTATTAATTTTTATTCATTTATATGTTTTTACTCCTCCTATCCTATTTATTTCTTTCCTTTTATATCTCCTGATACTTTCCATTTGCTTTTATTCCTGCGCTGATTTTTTTTATTCTAACTTTTATCTCTTAAAGGCATAGTACCAATTAATTTATTCACTCATCTCATTTTTGCACTTCTGCATCATCATTTTAGTGAACTATCTATTCCAAGTGATCCTGCATTACTAGCTCCTGGATTTTATACACTACTTCCTAGAGTGTTCCCTTTGATAGATATATATATATATATACACACACACGTTATTTTTACTCATTTTTCAATTGCATATATTTTGCCTACATTCTTGATTATCCTATTACCATGTATCCGCTTTAAATTACTTTTTATTTAAGATTGTAACAATACCTGATATTAGATTATGAGGGATACGACAAATATTTCTCCACATGCACTTTAACTTACTATTTTTAGACTTTATTTTCAGTTAGATAAAGCTATTTATCTTTATACCATCCAATATTTTTCTGTACAAAAATATTTTTTTGTACAATATTATTTATCTACAGTGCAATTTTTTTTATATTGCAATTATTTTTTTTTATAGATTATGTATAATTCTTTTCATATTTTGCCAATTTGTGGTATTTACAAGGTTTGTTTAAAGGATCACTGTAGTGTCAGGAAAACAAAGCAGTTTTCCTAACACTATAGTGCCCTCAGGGTGCCCCTCCTGTGGCACTGAAGGGGTTAAAACCCCTTCAGCAGCTTACCTTACCCTCGGGTCTGGTGACCTCTCCTCCCCCGCCGACGTCAGCGGAGAAGTCCGATGCCATAGGATCCGAATGCGCGGCCAGTGCCGCGCGCCCATTCAAAGTGTCCATAGGAAAGCATTTTCTCATTTCTCAGCTTTCCTATGGACGCTCTGCGCAATGGAGGCATAATATGCCTCCAGCATCGCAGATGCGCCTCTAGTGGCTATCCAGAAGACAGCAACTAAAGGGTGGTTTAACCCCAAATGTAAACATAGCAGTGCATCTGAGGGGTTAAAACCTGAGTGACATGGCACCCAGACCAATTTAGATGTGAAGAGTTCCGGTATCCAAGAAGATTACGACGAAGGGTACATCAGATTCTCTCCAACTCCTGAGGAAGCCCCGACTGCTACAGGACGGAACGCGTTGAGCCATCAGCTATAATCCAGTGTCCAGTACAAGGACCTTAGTACCACCATGCCACGCTGTTAACATCGGAAGGTATCCCTTAGCCCCTAGGAGTCGCGACCAGCGGGGCTTTGGACTGTTTTAGTGGTTAGTTTAGGAAACTTGTTTTTTGTGGTCTTTCAACAGTTCTCTTTTTATGTTCATATACACTTTTGTCATTTTGTCTGAATACATTTTGTTAATTTTAAAACGATTTCTTTGTATCTCATTGATTGCTGCTATCTCATTTCACCTCTGGGTATTTAGCACCCTCTGTGTATGTTTGGGTGCCCACCCATTTTACACCATTTGTTTGGTTTTAGTTCTTTTTAGGCTTTTTGGGAGTGTGTCTAATGGGTGGCAGATTTCCACCCTTACACTCATAGTTGTTGTGTCCACCCTATATATTTTTTTATATGATGGGAGTCTGGGGCTGGCTGGAAAATGCTCCTCCTACATCTTCCTCTACTATGCCTCCCTTGGCTCTGTATGTATCTGGGAGGAAGTGACCTGCTGTTACTTCCACTCAACATCATGATACTCACAGGGTCAGTCACGCTGTTACAGGGTCACTGGAACAGAGGCTGACTCTCGTTGTGGGTGCAAAACCACCATCTAGTGGCTGTCAGCAAGAAAGCCCCTAGAGGCATGCTTAGAGCTGCTATGTAGAACATGGCAGTATCTCCAAAACGCAATGTTTTGCAGGAGCACTGCACACAGGCCACTTAACTGACATTACAAGAGAGCTGGGTGCGGCCTATAGTGTCCTTTTAAAAGGACACCCCTAGTACACTATAATAACTTCGCAATTTCATCTCATTTAAGTTGTTATAGTGTCTGAAGGCCCCTGCTGTTGTCCAACCATTCAGTGTTAAAGCATTTTTTGCATGATAGAACACTGAAATTAGTTTCTGTCTGATATTTATCAGCCCAAGATCAACTGACTGCTGTCAGCTGATCATAGCTGCCCATGGCCAGTATGGGATTAGTGCCAAGACCGAATGAAAGTGAAATTAAGTATACCTCCACTTCCCTTTCTTCAGGAATCAATCACAATTTTGCAGAAGGAGGAGAACATGTCAATATAAGGGTTTTAAACAATAACAAAAAGCAAAACAGAAAAAGATGATCTCAGAAGGGAAAGGAGTGCTTTATAAAAAAGAGTGAACAATAGACAAGATTTAAAGTTGAGCCAAACAGGGTTTTTAAAGACAGCAAAACTTTGTGTAGTACAGTGTCGCATTATACAAATGTGAAAAGTCTGATAAGTTAGACACAGATTTTTTTTTAAATTCAGATTTTTCTCAGGCTTATCACAGTAAACACTAGAAATAGTCAATGAGCATACTGTGAAGTCAAATATATATATACATATACATACATATATATACATACACACCTTCTGCATCAAAACAGACAAAGAAGAATAAATAAATATACATCAATCTTTTCAGAAAATTCTAAAATGTATTGCTGCAGAACAAGTGCAACTGCGTTTCATTTAATCGTATAAAATAAAAGATTATATATATATATATATATATATATATATATATATATATATATATATATATATATATATATATACACATATATATATAAAATGAATGTACACAATTTGCTCCATGATGGTACCACCAGGAAATGTGGAACTCTGGTTAGTCTTCCAACAGCAGATCCAGCTCTTCTAATGGCACTCTGACTCTTAACTCCTTCTCTGCCATCAGATCTAGAATCTCCTGCAGCTTGTCTGGGAAATACTCCACCGCATCCATATACAGCACCTGAAAAAGAACAGCACAAAATCACCCTTTCCCTTTCCAACATAAAAAATATATATATATATATATATATATATATATATATATATATATATATAAACATAAAAAGTATTCAGTGGATGCTGATCTCTTCACCATATTCCGTGCTGCAAGGCAAGAGACATGGCGGCAGTCATGAAAATACCTTCTCAATTTGCCACTGGTCTAAGCCATTTACCCCTTAACGACATATGACAGAATTATTCCGTCATGGTTGTCCTTCCCTTAAAGGATCGTTTGTCAGCTGGGGCCAGAATTACTGGCCGCAGAATGACTAATGCTCTGTTTGTAGGGCTCAAAAAGAGCACTGCATACAGGAAATTAAATGGAATTTTAAATCTACATTGCTACAATGTGGTGTGAGCAGGGTTAAATCCCAACACATGCAAAGCAGTTTGAGGTATCATTGGATCTACATCACATCATTTGCACAGAGCAAAGGCCAGAGACAATCCCTTATACATAGCTTCTGCAGGTTGTGGACTGTGCTCAGTGATTGCACCTCTTTTGGCATCTTGCCCGGAAAGGTAACTATGGACTGTGGCACCGCTGAACACCAGGCTGGCATCAGGTGGGTTGAGCTGAAGTGTCCACTCTTCTCGCCTTTATTGTCTCATCTCCACCGGTAGCTGTGATATGGAATGGGTAGTGGCCATATTGGGGTTGTGCGATTTCAGCCAGCTAGGAGCCCAAAGTAAAGGGACCAGGAAATAACGGAGTATCCAAGTTGGTAGGGATCAGGATAACCCCAAGGCCCCTCAGACTTTTCAGTAAAAAGCAGGAAATAAGCCACATCCTCACGCTTCACTTGACTGAGAAGGCTTCAGGCCGGAAAAGTCCAAAATATACCCTCAGCAATTACCGGACACCACTTTCCAAAATAAGGGGATAGTGTCCTCAGAACAAGAGATATAGGGATCTCAATCTAAGGATGATGGTGTAGGTTTTCAGCCTTTCTGGTTGAGTTTAGTAGAGAAGCCCCTGCAAAACGCCACCTGCTCAGTCGACAGCCAAGCCACTCCTAACCATTTTCTTTCATTTAAGATTACATAGCAATTTCCATCCAGGTACAGAAAAAACATGGAACAAGAAAATATATGGACAGGTCTATAAGTAATTCTAGTCCCATCTGTCCCTAGCTGTAATGCTATAATTTTTGGATGTGGTTGGTAAGAATTGAAGTTCATAAAGATATAATAAGATATATGTATTTATCTTATCACTTACCTAAGGTACAACGCACATTTTGGCAAAATCTTCCACTTTGGGAGACCACCTTGTAATTAGTAGGAGGTATAAGTATAATAAGGTATTGGGGGCAAAACTCATGTTTTTGATCGATCAAAGAAAGGAACAATACTGCCATCAACCGAAAAACCATGGTTACAATATTTCTTTGAATAAATTCATCAGTTCTCACCTTTGCCCACGGACAGTTCTGAATTGCCTTGTAAAACAACCCCCTGCCACGCTCTCGATGGCCCAAAGATACCTTCACGTAAAAAAAAAAAAAAAACTGAATCAGATCCAATTGGAACATATGTAACAATTTTCTTTATAGTATATAACCAAAGGGCAAAGCATTGTATCAAAGGCAATGCCTTGACGTGCAAACAATTAAATATCTTGATGATCAGATAACCATTGGACGCTTCATTTTCTCTTATTTTTGCAGGCTATCTGTATGTAAAGTTATACCTGGTTTCCTATATAGACATTCGGTAGTGCATGCTGTGCTTTCATAAAAGAGTTACAGAGGGCTCTCGCATTGCACAGACTTCATGTACTCCAGGATTTTACAAATTCTGAATGTAGTACAATCCAGCTGAACACTGGGTATGCCCATTTACAAATGCATTGAATGATATAATCTGGACTCCATGTATGCTTAGCAGTGGGAGCAGAAAGCAAGGGTAACCATGTACAGCACATTCAGCAATATTTATAATGTAAACAGATTCATGTATAACATGTGCACATATGCATTGACCTGAAGGATGATATAAGTGCTTTAGTGAGATTATAAATTCTAGAAGTAGAAGCAGGATCTGTATGGCGTATGCAATTACGGCCCAAGGTGGTCATAATTTGGGAACAGTAAGAGTGTCCTTTGTTGCAAACCATATATATGTCAACACATAAAAACAAGAAACTGTAAAATGACTGATACTTTTTCTAAATAAAGGGTAAAACTTAGCCGTATTGCTTACCATGAAGTGCAGATACATGCGCCAAAGGAGGGGGCATTTGGAGCCATACTCAGAGCAAAGGGCGTGCTCAAACAGGGCTTTGATGCGATTGGATAAACCAGTCTCCGGGATGAACGAGTGTATCGCCCCCAAATCTAGTCTGAAAGAACATACATTTAGATTAGGACAGTTACCCTTCAATGCAGTTCCAGTCCAGGCTTGTCCCTCCTATTCCCACATTGCTATTATTTTAAAGCTCCAACATGTTTCACAATGCTGTATGATAGTGAACAAATAAACAAGACAGGATGACATGAAAATAGATTGAGCTGGCAGATAAAGACTGCCTGTGAGATTATGTCACATTACTGGGACATTTAAATAAATAAATAAATAAAGCAAGAAGTTTAATTCTTTACCTCTGTACAGAGTCCATCAGTTTCTTTCGGTCTTCTTCTGCTTTAATAGCAAACAGACGAGGCTCAAGAGCATCCGTTGTCCTCCTGATGCTGTCTAAAAATCTCCTGGCCTTACTGACATTGTGGCATTTGTTCTCAGTTTGAATGTAGGTTTTCCACAGAGACACATTTGTGGGATACAGCTTTAAGGAGGCTGTGAGAGAGTCTCTTAGAGGGGCTAGGGGGTACACACTGACCTTGGTATGGTACCTTAGCAAATTGGTGTGCATCAATGTGATTGCTTCCCGAGCGCTGTAGAAGTCTTGTGTTTCCTCATGTGAAGCACATGAGTCTGTGGCTTGCACAAGCACTGCAAAAGCAGCATTAAGACTCACAGTGAGATACTGGAAAAGTGCAAAGCAGCCAGATATACAGAGCAGAGCAGAGGCAGCTGGGTCGCTTGCACAGCCTTGTAAAGCATGTTCATACACCTTGCGAGCTTTCAAAACACGAGTAGTTTGCACTGGTTCAGTATAAGGAATATACTGCGTATTTTCCGTAAGGCTTGTGAGGATGTAAATTGCCCGGCTACCCGCACCCTTTTCTAAGCAGCCTTCCAGTTCTGCGTACAGCAGGCATAGGCTGCAGAGCTCCTGGTCCTTTAACCCCCTATTTCCCGCTAAGCTGATGGCTGCATCAAACACCTTCCTGGCATCATCTGTGTTGCCCAATAGCCATTCCAGTAACGCATACTCCTTCCAGAGGGCCAGGCTGGTCCGGCTGGAGGCTTCCTTGAGTAGGGCTTTAGCTAGACGTTTGCTGCGTTTGCCCTGAGATTTCAGCTTCTTCTTTTTCTGTGTTTGAAGGTAGCAAACAACCTGTAAAAATAAATCAGTCCTTTAAAGTTGGTCCAAAGGTAACACATACAGTAAAATTAGATTTTAAAAGCTGCAATTGTAAAAATGCTGACTCTTTCACCAATCTGTTTTCTAATAATGTTACTGCATTACTGTAAAACAAACTCTAGCTCAATGAAGCAGTTTTGGTGTATTGATCATACTCTGCAGTCTGTCAATTGTATGTTATTTAGGCGTTAATCACTTTGTTTGTACAGCCCTAGTCACACCTACCTGCATGCAACATGCACAGTATTCTTAAACACATCCTGTAAAGTGAGATCTAATGTTTATTCTTCCTTTATTGCACAGTCTTTTTAAATGGACACTGTGACGAAAGTAACCTCGCCATTGGGTTTTGGAGAGGCCTGCTTGCCAGCCTCTTTCCCTGTGACTATGACCCCTGGGGTGTATTGCCTTTTAAAAACACTATTTGTGCATATTGGGACTTGGCACAATGCCCCTTGGACTTTTAACTGGAACAGATTCAAACATGTGGCGGCGGCCATCTTTAATTGTCCAGCAGTGTTTTGTCGTCAAATGTTTGGAACTGTTTTGGGCATGGGACCAGGTGCACGGTGTGGCAAAAATAAGACTTCCAGGAAATTCCTGAACCCCTGAATCGATCTTGGTGATTTTTGGATATGTTGTTCACCCAGATCGGGGCTATCAGGGGATGAGACTTTGTGGGGATATGTTGTATTTTGGGGTACTTTTTGGGTTTGTAAAAATGTATGTTTTTCTGCTTGGAGTTAATCGAGTTAGTCCATTGTCTTTGTTAATTGTATCACAGGCAGAGGGGAGGGTTTGTGTACATTATCTGGGAGTGTCTAACTGTACAATACTGTTCTGATTGGCTTTGTGACTGTGTCCTGTGCTCCACAATGTCCACCTAGGTGGTAACCTTGTGGGAAAAACTGTATAAAAGACAATAAACCCTCAGATCTGCCGAGTTGCTGTTTTACCTTCAACATAGAGCCTGGTCTCATGTGTGGGGGAAAAGGCTGCATCTACACAGGGGGATTGCTATACTCTGTATACTACCCTGGGCTATAATCACTAAGCTCTTTTAAGAGCTTGTTCCTGCTACTCTCTCTTGGAGGAGAGGTACACCCACTGGAATCTGGAGCCTTGTTGTAGGTCCAGGGGTAGAGGACCCCAACCAAGCTGTGGCGGTTCGGGAGATCTGCGGTGCTTATGGTGTCTGGTGCGGTGCTGATGGTCCTTGGTAAGAACTAGGAGCATCGATTGAAGGAGGGTCCGACACAGACACTATAGTCACCAAAACAACTTTAGCTTAATGAAACAGTTTTGGTGTACAGATCATGCCCTTGCAGCCTCACTGCTCAATTCTCTGCCATTTAGGAGTTACATCACTTTGTTTATGAACCCTAGACCCTGCAAGAGCCTCCTGTATGTGAATAAAGTTAAATTTACAGAGCAAGAGATACAACTGTTTAAGGTAAATTACATCTGATTCAAAGTGAAACCAGTTTTTTTTTTTTCATGCAGGCTGTGTGAATCATAGTCAGGGGAGGTGTGGCAAGGGCTGCATAAACAGAAACAAAGTGATTTAACTCCTAAATGACAGTGAATTGTGAAGTTAAACCTGAGAGGCATGGTCTATACACTAGAACTGCTTTATAAAGCTAAAGTTGTTTAGGTGACTATAGTGTTGCTTTAATTTAGAATTTCTTACCTCCTGCTCTGTTAATAGCTTGATAGACCTTGCACGAGACTGCTGTATATGAGTTAAGTTCAGTTTATAGAGCAAGTCAGTTAACATTGAATTGAAAATGAAACCATATTTTTCATGCCCTGGGAGGTGTGACTAGGGCTGTATGGGCAGAAGAAAAGGTGACAACTCCTAAATGGCAGAGAATTGAGAAGTAGACTTCAGAGGCATGAGCTATACATTAATCTACTTCATTAAGATAAAGTTGTTTTGGTAACCAAAGTGAACCTTTAATAATATAGGTGATCTCAATAACCACCCAGTTTACTCATCACTTTACAAGTAAGTCTATAACTAAAGTAGCCTGATAGGTCTACTAGAAACGGAAAAAGTATTTTCCCCACAAGTTTACATTTTCACATTTTTCCTAAAATAGATCGAAAGATAGAGAAGATATCAAAATCAACTAAAATAGCATAAAAATACACTTTCAGTCAGTACAGTGTCTCACTCAAAATATATTATGATACCATTATGGTAAATTGTGGTAAGATGCACAACTTGGTATCCAGTACGGCTGTAACTACTCAATTGTTCTTAGTGCATTCTCGGATTACACAATACCTGCCTTGGGTTTATAAAAATATTACTGTTTATATCTTTGCATGCTCTCTTGTCCATTGTATTTTTTATTCACTGTACCGTGAACCCATTTGGATCAAATATTTGCCTTTTTTGGATTAATGGCTTCTGTTACAGGATTATATTTTTACTATCATTAAGAGAACACTCCATTCTCCAAAAATGAAATATTGAAGAAGAAAAAAAAAGGTAAAAAAGTATTGTGCAGTGAGCTGCCTCTTCTACAGAACAGACAGACTATGCACTACTATAAATCAGAAGAAAGCCTAATAATACATGACCTGAGCGGTAGACATTGAGTGTTCCCTTTAACAGAGGTGTAACAGCTCTTGATGAATTTATATGGCATTGGTAAATTGTTGTACCTTTGAAATTTCATATTGTAGCCAGTAGACTGAAAGTCTCATCTTCTCATCTCCTTGGAAACATGAAAGTGAAGCCTGGAAGACATTTTGAATGAAGCCCTCTCCTTCTTTACCATGGTCAGCCAGCCATCTCCCTCTACTTATGGTGTCCAAGTGACCAACGGGACAAACTCCAGAAAGAGGAAGTTCAAATGAGGTCAGTAACCTTTCATATACTGGGTATTGGTCAAAGATGGAAGGTTCATCCAGACAGAGGTAGAGGGTAGGTGCTGGGAGGCGAGACCCACAGGGGACCCCAAGGAACTGCAAGAAGGACAGGATGAGCTGGAACTGCAGTTTGGGGCTGGAGATCTTAAACATGGATGGGCCCAGATCGTCAAAGAGAACCTAGCGGATACAGCAGGGAAAAGTTTTGATAGTTAGGCTACATGTTTTACATATCAGAAAAATATATATATTTCTTTAATGGCAACATATATATATATATATGTTGCCATTAAAGAAATTATTTCTGTGAACCTAAAAAAGCCTATTACAACATAAGCATAATATTGCTGCGGACTCACATTAAAGGGTAAAATGGTCTATCGCCACTTATGGTCTTATCCTCCAGACTTTAAGCACCTCCCATGTCTCACCCCTCTGGCAGTCTTTATATTGGCGTCATATTAGATTAATGGATCAATTTAAAACACTAGTATTTATACAGAGCTTTGCATCTACCGATCCTTGCTAACTGACCCAGTCACCTGCTCACACTCGGAACGTCACGACTTCTCTAGGACTGACTGTTCCTATGAAACCCCAGTTTCAATAACATCGACTGTGTTCCTTATCTGCACATTATTTAAGGTACAAGTGTATTTTTTTTCTATAAAGTACATACTGCATAGACACAAAGCTGTGCCTGGTCTTACCTGTCTCTCTGGGTCCTCACAGTCCTCCTCAGTCTGCTTTTTGACAGGGTCAGGTCGCCACGGCATCCATTGCCTAGCTTCCCTTGAACATTCCACATCCAACCAGATCTTATTTTTGGCACAATGTTTATCTTTTATTTCCAAATCCTCGTCTGCTTCGTCGTCCTCCTCTTCTCCTATAAGAGAAACCAGCAATAGTTACAATCTAACCTCAAACTACTAGGGACAGTACCGGTGAAGTATTATTCTCTTTAATTAATATGCATTATCGTGAAGTGGTCATGGTGCAAAGACCTTAAAAGTGAAGCTTTTAAGTAACATTGCTGCACATACCGATTTATTGCAGCAAAGGGAAATTTAACGCCACCTTTACCAGCTCCTATCATCTATCCCAGAACGAGAATAGTTAATTCTGTGAACAGACAATTATTCATTCATTCATTGTCTGAAAGAGCTCAAGTAACACTTTCAGTCAACGAATGAACGCAGCATCAGCTTCTGCAGCGGCCATTCACTGGTTTGACACCTTACCAGAAAAATTCGCCAAGGGAGTAACCCTTTAACATTACATAAAGTAACAGTGCATGCAGATAAATAATGAAAACATTAACGTATGTAACCAAGAAAAGTACATTTAGAGTTTTAAAATCAAGTATATCCTGAGGTGTAGATGTTCAAACTCAATGAAACATTCTATACTCTAACAAGGTTGAAACGATCGCCTAGGGTTGCGTATCTCTTGTGCAGTGAGAGCTGGCCTGCATTTTGGTTCCATTCTGCTCTTTTGGGTGGCATCAGTCTGATATGCAAATGACCTGTTTTTTGGGGGTTTTTTTTGCAATGGCACAAGATGAGCTAAAACTAGTTAGAGATCTGAGCGAGGACCCACTGAAGGGCAGGCTATTTGAGCTGTTGTCCGTTCTCAGTACTCTAGTGGTTAGTTCTTTTTGCACTCTATACACCACAACCACTTCTAATTGCTGAAGAGATTATGGTGCTAAGAATCAGCACCTGAAGCCTTTATTTCATTCTAGGGATAAAAAAATAAATATTTTTTTCCACCCTTCTGTGCAACAGTCCCTCCATATGCAGTCAATCAGCCAACTAGACTAATTAAACCAGGCTGACACTTAGTTTTGTGCTTGTTTCTGGTGTCAACACACACGGTATGCTAACCCCAGACACATCGGAGTGGCTGCACAATTTCTCCCCAAGGCTGTCACACAGCCAGCAGTAGCACAGTGCTAATAGTGGCAATACAGATGGATTTACGCAGCCGTCCAAGAAGATAAATATCCTTGTTTGAGTATGCAAATACACATCTGATGTAAGGAAACCACGTAATAAACAGCTTTTAATCAACGTCATCCAGTGCTTTGCTGAGCCTAATGAGAATTTTTGTCCAAAATAGCAAGTCACCATTTTTTATAGATGCATTAAAAAAAACAAAAAACAATACTTAAAAACAGCCATAAGTATGATATATTTTTTATATTAATCTCAATATAACTATAATTCTCCACAAGAAGCTTTGGACTAGAGATTTGTCCTTAATACTTCTTGATTAAGGGGAGGGGAGTTATTCTGCAGCAAAAAAAGTTAATATTTTACAGCTTAGGAAATATTTAAACAAATTTTAGTAAAAGTTAATGCATTTAAAAAATATATATATGATATGTGTTTTTGAATATATAGAGTTTCATTTTAAAGATGCCACCACTTTTTATACTGTCAGGCCACGTTCGTGTGCAATGCAAGAGATCGTTAAACCTTCAGATAATGGATACCGACAGATCAGATGAATGGTCTACTGCAAAAGGGAGATAAATTATAGGTCTTCTCTCGGAAGGCTACACTGTGTAGAATTACCCAAGTTGTGGATTGTGATCCAACCGCCTCGTTCTTGTTGTTTCATCCAAGCACACCAGCCTTTGGCACCTTTTTCGCCAAAACGAGGTTCCCCGCTGTCCCAGAAAGGCTCATAAAATTCAATCTAGGTGAAAAAATACATCAGAATGAATCATGTGTTCACTGCCTTACTTGGCAGGTTTCTGCACAAGTCCTAAATTGCTTTCTTCCAAAGAAACCAAATACAAAGAAATCAAAATATGGCATACCATGTAAACAAAACAAAAACATACAAAACTAATTTTATATATATATTCAAAATCTCTGGATACAAACAGTGTATAACAATAGAAAAGAATCAAATAGTATATTTAATATTTGTATAATAAAAAAAGCTTATATATTCTTCAGGATAACCCAATACCCTTTCCACATGTTCTTCAAAGGAATACTTCGTGCACCATAACCACTACAGCTTGTTACAATGACTATGGTGCCAGGTGTACCCTGGCACCTCTTCTTCTCTAAGAAATCAAACCATTTTTGAATGGCTTCATACATGTGGTCTGCCATCCACTGTTACACACCTCCACTACCAATGCCGGAGAGCTGGCATAGTTAATTGACTGCGAATGATCAGCTTACTCTCTCCGCCAATGATTCAAGACCTACAGTGGAAAGCTTAGCTCAGGAGCTTCTGTCTTTCTGGCGTTCGTAGGAGGCGGGAAGCGGACCCTGGCAGACCCCAGGTAAAATGACGAACTGTTCAAAACCTGTTTGGTTACTTGCAATGGGAGTGTGCCACATCACTCCTGGCAACAAAACAACTACCGTGAGCTGCAGTGGTTATGGTACTTGGAGTGGCCCTTTAATTCCTTTCCTCTATTAGACTATCAGATTCTACTACTTCTGCTGGAAGGTCAGGTATCTACTACACTTTCTTTAAAACCATATTTTAACACGCATTCATTTGTTCACCTTCAAACTTTAAATCAAGACCTGTTTTTGTAATAGTGAAAAGCTAAACGGTCACTGAAAACCTTCCACTGCCTGTACAGTAAGTTCCATAAAGCACTGCTCAGCATTTGCGCAGTATGCAGTAATTACAGCACAGCTAGGAACTCTGGGTAGAGATCTTCACAGAGGCTGAAAAGAGACATGCGTCCATCAAATTCAGCCTGTCTCACATCTGTTTATGCCGATGATCCAAAAGAAGGCAAAAATACCACACAAAAAGTAAAAGAAACGCAGTTTTTTTAAAAAAAAAAGCACTTTCCAATGTTGCAACAAACTACAAAAGAAAATTTCTTCTCAACCCCAGATCTCTCATTCGATCAGATGGTCAGATCTCTCATTCGATCAAAAAGTTGTTACCCTACATAAAAATTATATCCCTGAATATTATGTTTTTGCAAATATTCATCCATATTATGTGAACAACTATTCTATATGTATCTATGCACTGCATATGATAACACAGACTGTTTTCAAAGGTGTCTAGAACAGGTATACACATAAGAACAAAGTGGATAATAATAGAAACGGTTTATTATTCTAGGACCATGAAGTGTCTGGAATTTCTCAGCAAATCCTGGCCCTCATAATGTTGTGCAGATTTCAGCGGACAACTCTTAGCAGGAAATGTAAATCAGCTGTCCCAAGTAGCTTTTGAACAGAACTAGTCAGAAATCTCACAGGATCGATTAGAATGGTTCTTTATTCAAGCATTCCGTTTAAATCTTTATTCATGGTTTCTCATGAATGATGTTATTTGTAGCCACATATGCAGGGTGCTAACCATGCCCCTGTAACTAAATGCCAGACAACTAAATAAGAATATTTGCTCTTCATCTTTGTAATAAGAGCATTTTACTGGCGTTTTTTTTTATTTTAAACACACCTGTTCCTTGGTGTTCATATTCTTCACGGTGTCAGGTTTGTAAAAGGTAAAATCAATAAGGGCCTGAAACAAGGACACCGATTTTTCCGTATGGCCTGCCTGCCGCAAGAAATGGCACTGCTGGATAAACACATCTGGGGGGAAGAAATAAAATAATGCTTACAATTGACAGAAAGTCATTGCATACGAATATTAATTATACTTCACTATATTACAACCACCAATACCTTGAAAATTTAATTGATTTACAACACTGGAGTGTCCCTTTAAATGGAAGTTAAAAAACAAACAAACATTGGTCTGCTTCTGCTACTTACTAATGCTGTACTTTATAAAAGGGAAACAGAGTCAGTCATAATTATCATTATTATACATGAGTGCTACATTAAAGCAATTAGAACAGTTTTGTTCACAATAACTGTAAATTGTTCAGTGCATGCTATCAACATTAAAATCAATTCTTTATGGAATACAATACAGTCTACAATTATTTGGGGCTCCACGGGATTAAACAGGCATATAGGGTCATAGAACTCACAAACCAGATTTTCTACATTTTACTGAAGCATAAACATGTAATTAGGAAGGCTACAACAGTTTCCATTGTAGAGTGAAAGTTCAGTAAGACCTTGTAAACAAATACCCCCCTCTACTAACATGCGCTGACCCTGCATGTACATAACCCCACTCTATTAACATGCACTGACCCTGAACATATATTCCCCCTCTATTAACATGCACTGACCCTGCACATATATATCCCCCCTAATAACATGCACTGATCATGCATATATATACACCCACTCTACTAACATCCACTGACCCTGCACATATTTTTATTTTAAAAAATGCACTGACCCTACACCCTTTTATTAACATGCACTGACTCTGTGCACAAATACCCACCTCTACGAACATGCACTGACTCCACAAATAACTCCCCACATTAACATTGAACTGACCCAGCACACAAACGAGCTCCTATCGGCATGTACTGACCCTGTGCACAAATACACTCCTGTGTTTACATGTCCAACTCCGATTCAATCCCTTTATTTACACTTACTCACCCTACCATCCACACAAATCCATCCCCTGCATCCCCCTAACTTCTGACACAAACACATCCGTGCCCTCATACACACTGGCCTTCCACTCATGTACATCCCTACAATCACATACACTGATATTTCCCCCTTACCTTATATAGTCACACTCTTAACAAATATTAAAACCCCACTGCTTACAAAAATGCACCCAATACATACACACAAAATTCAATTAACATATACACAGTACTAAACTATTCCTACACATTCACTCTAAACTACATGCAAACACTCCTCTGCATTCACACACACTCAAACCTCATGCAATTATACATGCTGACTCCTGATACTGAAAGGTTATAAAAAATTTTAATAAAAACAATATACAATGGTGCAGTGAGTACATTTTAAAGTGGTTTAATGACAGACTATCAATTTTGAGTCCCTATAAGAGGTCAGACATAAATGTCTTGCCACCTCAATATGTACCGTATATACTCGTGTATAAGTCGATCTCATGTATAAGTCGAGTGCAGTTTTGTGACCAACAATTGTGAAATATGCTATGCCTCTTGGATAAGTCGAGGGTAAAACTTGGGGCTATGAAATTCTGTGATTTTTATAATTATATACACACACACTCATACACACTGCATTATACACACACACACACTCATACACACACTCATACACACTGCATTATACACACACACACACACATACACACTGCATTATACACACACACATACACACACTGCATTACACACACACACACACTCATACACACTCATACAGACACTCTGCGTTATACACACACACTCTGCATTATACACACACACACACTCATACAAACACTCTGCATTATACACACACACACTCATACAAACACACACTCTGCATTATACACACACACACTCATACAAACACACACTCTGCATTATACACACACTCATACAAACACACACTCTGCATTATACACACACTCATACAAACACACACTCTGCATTATACACACACACTGCATTATACACACACTCTGCATTATACACACACTCATACAAACACACACTCTGCATTACACACACACTCATACATACAATCTGCATTATACACACACTCATACAAACACACACACTGCATTATATAATGCAGAGTGTGTGTGTTTGTGTGAATGCAGAGTGTGTGTGTATATAATGCAGAGTGTGTGTTTGCATGAGTGTGTATATAATGCAGTGTGTGTGTATACAATGCAGAGTGTGTGTTTGTATGAGTGTGTTTGTGTGTGAACTGGGTGGGGGAGGGCATTTTTATTTGTAATTTTTTTAATTTTAATATTTTAATTTGTTTATTTTAGTATTTTTTTTATTTTATTATTTACTTTTTAAATTTTAATATTACATTTTTTTTTTTATTGAAATATTTTTTTTTTTTGGATTATTTAATTTTTATTTTCGTCCCCCCTCCCTGTTTGTTAGCTGGCCAGAGAGGGGGGCTCTCATTCCCTGGTGGTCCAGTGCATGGGCTGTGTAAGAGGGGGGCTGGCAGAGAGCTGTTACTTACCTTTCCTGCAGCTCCTGTCAGCTCCCTTCTCCTTCAGTCCGGTCAGCTCCACTATAAGTCTCGCGAGAGCCCCCGCGGCAGTCACACCGTGAGACTTACAGTGGAGGAGAAGGGAGCTGACCGGAGCGCAGGAGAAGGGAGCTGACTGGAGCACAGGAGAAGGGAGCTGACAGGAGCTGCAGGAAAGGTAAATAACAGCTCTCTGCCAGCCCCCAACAGGACTGCCGGGCTTGTAATGAGCCCAGCGGTCCAGGTCTGTATTATGGCAATGTAAGTTGCCATAATACAGACACTGACTCGAGTATAAGTCGAGTGGGGGTTTTTCAGCACAAATAATGTGCTGAAAAACTAGACTTATACTTGAGTATATATGGTAAGTGGGTTTGGAAAATAAAAAATGAAAACAGTTGCCTTTGCAAAACACTAGCTGTCACATTTTACTTCCTCCCTCCCTCTCTCTCTCTCTCTCTCTCTTTTTTTTTTTTTTTTTTTAAGGGCAACTCCAATGTCCATGGCCACTTCAGCTTTGAGAAGTGGTCACGGTGATAAGAATCTGTATGTGTAACGCTGGAATATAGAGATATTTACAGTTTTGTGCCATGGCTAGTTGCACCCCTGGCACATTTAACTTTAATTTTGAGTAAAAATTATGTCTGTTGGGGGCGGGGCCTGATCGCTGTCCAAGATGGCCGCAAGTTGCTGGAGCTCCTGAGGGAAATCCTCATACAAAGCCTAAAATCTGAACTATGCTATCAGACCGTTGGCACAAATCGGTTTACCCTCACAGTGAGGAACTTTGGCATAAGTTGAGCCTGACAGTGCTTGATTCTGACGTGCATAGCCCATGTAAGTCTCCCTCTGCATCCTTCAGGAGCACGCGAGGTGGAGGAGGCAGCCGATCCACTGCCCGGGTCTGGAAAGCATCGGATTAATAGCCATGTTCCCCTCCCCCCCTCTCCCCTCCCTGGACCGGTGGGGGTTATACCGGTCCCCACTGGTACCCTCTTGTAGTGAATTACTGCAAACAGCGTAATACAGTATTGTAGAAAGCTGAGGCCGATGGATTTAAGATGGCCACCGTGACTAGGTCACAGATTTGGGTCTCTACCCAGGGCTGCTCATCCACGTTAACGTGCTACTCCAGGCCTTTGACAGGCTTTGTGCCCAATTCTGGGCAAAGCTGAGGGCTCAGATACCCACCCCTACTCCCATCAGCCAAAGCAGTGCATCTGGGAGCCAGCCAGTGGCCCGACGCCATGTGGCCAGGCATTGCTCATGCGGCCAAGCTGGATGACTGAGAAAGAGGCGCAGGAGACCACAACATAAACACAGAGTGGAGGTGAGAAGAGCTCGAGGGCCGCAACGGACACGCACACAGCACACCTACCATGGCGCCCCACACAGATCTCGAGAGGATGCCAAATAATCCTGTGTAAGCTGCGCTGTCAGTGGATTCCCGCTTGGCAAGGCCTGCAGTGCACATCATGGTGGTCCAAACAGCGGGTTCCCATCATGCCTGGAGATGCGGGAGGCCTCCCCATGCCACATTGAACTCTTAACTCCCAATATCCTTAGCCTCCCATCTGAGGGCATCGGTTGAGCGACCAGACTTTCTGCACAAACTGATGTTTTCTTTTCCTTATTACTTGTTTCCCAACCCAGTGGTAATAATAGCTCATCCTCGTGTCATTTTATACATCCTGAAGTTTTCTCCTACAATTTCTGCCGACATGTATTCTTTCCTAAACCTGGCTCTCACATATTATAAAATGTGCTGAATGCAGAAATTTCCTAACAACTTTCCGCCTATGCAATGTTGATACTTATACTCTTGTGGAATGTCATTATCTAACTATTTATTATGCTAAGCACTATCAAAAATAAAGAATAAAAAAAAACAATTTTGTGTTATCAGCATACACTATGCTCACAAGAGACTTCCTTTATGCACTCTACTTGATTGGACCGTGAGGTAACGAGGCACGACGTTAGAGATAAAACAAATGTGGAGAAACCACGCCCGACACTGGATTCAAATTAAGCTTTATTTTAGTTTTATTTCAAAGCTTTGAACATAGAAGGGGTGGACAAGTATAGTAGTGCCCAAAATGGCAATATAAAGCAAAAAATACAATATAGGGTTACAGTAACCCTTTTAGAGAACAACTTTTAAAGGACCATTTAGCCCACACCTGAAGGGAGTAAGTAATTTACTTACAATTTCTCCCTTGCAGCGCTGGTTTCTGCGGGCAAGCTTTGCCTCCTTGGCTGACATCATCGAGACTGATGATCTCAACCAATGCAATACTTTCCCTAATGGAAAGCATAGAGAGGCTACTGCGTATGCGCAACAAAATGTGTGCGTCAATCAAATGGTCTCTATGAGACCATCTGATTAAAATAGCAGAGTTTAACTGCTATTTCGGCCCATGTGCCTCTAGTGGCAGGAAAGCATTGGGAGTCTAGGGTGCATGCGCAGCATAATGCCGCTCTGCACCAATCAGATGGTGTCTCAATGCGCATGCACATTAGGTCCCCCTTGATGTCAGTAGAGGAGGCTGATGAAAAGGTGTAATTAATATTAAACAATTAAATGGGCTACAACATATAACTACAAGCGACCTAAAATGAGTGTAAGCTCAAAAAGTTTGGAAAAATATGTGCGCTCCTGAAAATATTAAAGTAACACTTAAAGTACAAATATATATTTAATAGATAAAAAATCTACAAATCAATCATAACAATAAATAAAAAAGAAAACATATATATAAGAGCATGACTGAATTGATCTGTTGCTGTACTTGACAAAATAAAATATTCATGAATGAGCAAATCCTGACAAATAATGAAGCCAGAGTAAGCACCTGACAGATACTAAGGCTACAATGTGTAAAAACAAAGTATCTGGAGGGATAACAAAAGCTAACAAAAAAATACAAATGAATTAAGCAACAAATAAACAAGATAAAAGTACCTTGCCTCGGTGGGGGCCCCCACCGAGGTACAAATCAAGGGAGATAGTAGTGGCCAAAAGACAGGGATCCGTCGATAGAGGACAAATAGATGTTGCACCGCGGTCGGGATCTTCAAAAAAGACCGCGGTGTAGATGGAAAGCAGATGAAACACAATCCACCAGTGGGACAGAGACTCACCCACAAACTGAATATAGCGTATTACACCGCGGTCGGTGTCTTCAAAAAAGACCGCGGTGTGAGAGACCAACTCCCGACAGACACCGGCAAACACTACAGCTCCCCACAGCAACAGAGCAGAACGTCACGTAATCAGCTGTGACTCGTCGACGCGTTTCGTCCCGCCCACGGGACTTTCTCAAGACAAAGTAATTGCCACAGATCAAAGATTAAATAGCCCAGGCATGACCTAATTGACATAAATGAAAGGTAAACCCTGGACTGGATCCATAAAAAACTTTCATCAACAACAATAACATGTTAAAAGAAAAACTTTTTATTCCATAATAATGTATATAATTTTAGTTAGACCACCATAAAAAATGAATATGTAAAACTGAAAAATAATAATAAGAAATAATAAATATTAAAAATTAGAAAGAAAAAACACAGAATGTTTTATATTAAAAACATATACAAAGTAAACCCCAAAATAACATAAAAATGCAGACACTATCATAAAGTGTATTATAACATAAAACAAAACAAAAATAAAAAATATATTTAGAATAGATCTAGCTCTTCATTCAAGCCGTTAGGTATCATAGTATTTAGCTTGAAAATCCACATGGACTCAGACTTTATTAGTTCCCTTTTTCTTACTGCTCCATCCTGGTGGATCAATATTTTATTTTGTCAAGTACAGCAACAGATCAATTCAGTCATGCTCTTATATATATGTTTTCTTTTTTATTTATTGTTATGATTGATTTGTAGATTTTTTATCTATTAAATATATATTTGTCAGTAGAGGAGGAGCAGAGACGGAGCCTGACCAAGTACCAATGGACATCGGCGCTGGAATCAGGTACGTGACAAAAAAAGTTATATATATATATATATATATATTTTTTTTTTTTTTTTTTGTGGTGCACAGCATTACAAACTATAGAAGACATTGGTCAGAGGACAAACAATAGGCACAGATATATCATAAATTGTTGAGGTTACTGCACTTTTTTAATTTAATTTTAATATTAATAAAGAACCAGCGCATCAAGATAAGCTGCACATTTTTTTGAAACTAAAAATAATTACAGGTTTTCATCTAGTAGCTTAACAGGAAAATTTTCCCTAAGAGGCTCCCAGACAGTATGGCATGAGAGGAAAACAATAGGTAAAGCAAAATAGCACCGAAAAGGAAATGCTGTATACGGATATAGATAAAAGAAAAAGCACAAACACTTGCAGTACTTGAATGATCAGGAACTGCGTGTGGGCCCCATCTTGGTGGCCACTTCAACCGATACCCTCTTTTGATCGGAAACACTCCCGCAACCATAAGCCCATAAGGAGACAAGTGGGGTCTAGGCGTTCAGAAGGTTCAGCATCCCTGAAATTCCTTGGGATTCTAGCTTGGTCCGCAAGGGCTCCTTTTTCGATTCGTTTTGCACTGAAGCTGAGGACGGCACTTGTTTCTCCACCAGTTTGGGGTCTTTCCCACTGCGTGGACTGAGGGCAACTGATGGGGACATGGCTATGGCATTTGGGGTAGGTAGCTCCTCGCTTGTATTGGGCCACAGTGTAGCATCCTCTGCTCCAGTTTGTGTCAAAAATCGTTGAAGATTTGTTGCAGTCTGGTGTGAGCATCAGGTTCGTCTGCGCTGGAACTGAGGGATCACGCCGTGTCCGCCATGATGGGTGAGTCACTAATTGTGCCAACATCTCATCTCACCATTCCCTGTGTATTTGTTTGGGCAAGGGTGGACCGGAATAACGCTCACTGGTCGGGGGGGTGTAACGGGACCCTTGTCTTTGAAAGCTGTTGCTGGACACCACTGTGCATTAAGATGGTCCGTCTCTCCAGCCCAGTGCGCACTAGGCCGTATGGTTCGGTATGGTGAAAGTAGGTTCTAACCGGTGTGCAGACTGCAACAAGATGTGTCCCCTAAGTCGGGGATTTGATAATGCTCAAGTTTTGTCCCTAAGCGAGCTTGATGATCTAGCATAATGTGCTTTATAACAGAATAGTTAGGGAGCTCTCTCAGGACACTTCTGGCCACCATGATAGTCAGGCCCTGCTCCCTGACAAAAGGTTTTTAACCCTGACAATGCTGCAGGGGGCCACGAGGGAGGGGGCACAATCGTGTTAAGAATACAACTTTGTATCCCTAGCACTATAGTTTCCCATTAAAACAAAGATGACATGGCATCCAGACCACTTCTATGAGATGAAACTGCCTGGGTGCCTTTAATTTAAGCAATTAAGTTTAGATTATGTAATTGAAATTAACTATCTGGTACTGCCCTTGCACTTGTTCAATCCTACTAAAGATCTTGAACTCTGGCAACTTAGAAAGTGTCCTAAACTCTTGAGAACACACTGAATACATTTAAAGACTATTGGAGACTATACTAATTGGCTGGTGCACATTATCTATAAATTCAGAGGACAGCCAAGTGCAATCCAACGGATCAAGACCCACTGTCAGGGGACTGAAGGGGAAGAGCACTGCAAATAAGAATGGTAGAGCTTGGAAACAAACGTAGATGTATAGGGTCAGACGCGCAGTGTAACGAAGGTGTACTTGAGCTGTCTTGTGTGGCCCTGACACAGAGATCCTGTGACTACTTGTGAGGAGGGGTTTAAAGTTCTTGGAATATTCTGCTATGTGTAGATTCCATTTCCACATCTTTTCACTGTGCTGGCATCTGTGCGTGCATCTGTTGTTCTAGGGTAGGACTTTCAGACCAGTCAACATCTGCCTTCATGGACACCACTTAAGTCACCCATCAGACCCATGGTCCTTTATTATTGTTTGACTCACATTGTATAAACACATTATATATATATATATATATATATAAGCCCTGTGACCAGGTCATTAAAATTGTATGTATTTCAAGAATACTAGGTACTTTGTAGCATCAGTTGGAAATAAGAAAGAGCTGCTACTTGTCTAGAGTGATCCTGCTGAACGTGTGCCTGCTAAGAACATACTCCTGCTTAGGGACAAACACTGCTGTGGGGTTTTCTGGTGCTCAAAACGTTGTGAACACCATTAACGGGACAAGTTCTCAAGCCGAAGGCGATTCCTCCTGCTCCTGTTACAGAAGGAGAAATGAAAAAGCCACAGAGGGTAGGAGGAAGACAGAATTCATCTCCCATTTTAATTATGTATATATTGGCCATTTTGAGAATAATGAAAACAATAATCTAAGCTGTCCTAAGTGCAGGAGAGAGTTGACTTGGAAGTTTCTATTCCCCTTTTTGTTTCTTTCTTCTTGTCCTCTCACACCATTCTCATTCTACTTCTCTTCTTTGCCACTCCATCCACCCCTTTCCATACTTTCTCTTGTAGAGGCGCAGACGGTCCTCAGACTAGAGAATTATCTTCCGGACACAAAAGTAATTTCAGTACTAGACTACTGTGTGTGGCTACTTTATATCCGGAATAGTATTACTGCTCTAGGTGTTACTATGCTACTCCTAACTTGTTTTTCCTACTTGTTTCTAAATATTCGTATTTGATGCAAAATACTAAAATAAAGATTTTCCAAAAAAAATAAATAAAAAAAATACACTGGAATCTAAGCCACTTCTTGGACCACAGAGAAGCTGATTATAAATTTATAAATATATAAAATTTATAAAGTGTTCAAGTAGAGATTGTAGCCGTATTAGTCCAGTGATGTAGATGTAAAAAAACAGATAAAATTCTTATCTTGTAATACCTTTTTTATTGGACTAACAGAATTTTTTAATGACAAGCTTTCGGGAGAACCTCCCTTTCTCAAGTCTGAAGCATTTGCTTCAGACTTTCTCAGACTTGAGAAAGGGAGGTTCTCGAAAAATTCTGTTATCAATAAAAAGTGATAAGAAACTATCTGTTTTTCTACTAAATATATATATATATATATATATATATATATATATATATATATATATATATATATATATATATATATATATATATATATACACACACACACACACACACACACATATACATACATACACACACACATATTTCTATAACAGGTATATTGCAAACAGAAAGGTTAATATTGAATAGTATTACTTAAACTAGCCTTGTTTATGCACCCGTTAAATCTCTGATGGAAAACAAACAGATAAAGCGGTCTTAATTATATTGTCCTTGGAACAGTTATATCTTCTACTGACCTAGTTTATCCTTGCCATCATACTCCTTGCCCCTCTTCCCATACAGCAATACGTACCGTACATGCTGCGCTCCGTTTCTGCCAAGGCCGGGTGAGAATGCATGCAGCCATCTTGCACTGCAGCCAAGGTGCTGATGCACTTTCCATAGATGCCATTCACCTTGGATACCGAGAAGGAACTGAACTGGCTTTGGGAGAACAGAAGGTATTTCTGCCAAAGCTGTGGGTCATTAGGGTGCAGGAAAACAAGCTTTTTCCATTCCTTCTGCAGAGCTGGCGCTTCCCAAAACTCCTCGCACAGTTTGAGCCTGGCAAGCTTCAGCTCCGTACTGCCTGGGTTGCTCTCGATTGCTCGTTCTAGGATGGATAACTTCTTCTCCAGAATTAGCTTTACTGACATGCGGTGACTACCCAACTCTCCCTCGCTGGTGGAATACATGCTCGGGTGTCTAATTAGTTCATCCTTCAGGGGACAGGAAGAGAAATGTAAATTCAAGAAAGCCATGCACATATACACAGGAAAAATATACGCCCTCATTCCAGCACAGATATCGCTAATGTATAATTTCATGTACCTCACATGCCCTGTTTCACTTTTTCCCTGCTGGCATTTTGCCAGCAGGGATAGCATGGGATAGCAATGCAAAGAAACATAAATAAGTGCAAGTCGGTGGAAATTGCGGGATGCAGAAAATTATACTGCAGTAGGTGCTGTACACAGACAGACATGCAGGAAATCTGGTCATAGGGTTAAACCTGTTGCAGATGCTTCCAATGTATTAGGAGAAACTGTAGGTACAGAAGTTGTAGAACAAGGTGACCTGCAGCTGCGTTGTGTAGGGGATAATGTCTGTCCTACATTGCAGTTGGGTAACATAGGGGCTTCCTTATTTAAAGACACAAAGTGACTATTGCTGAAGAAATCACAGTAAGAGTGAACTCTGGAAATAGGATCCATCGGTTCTCTGGTCTCAACATGAATGTTCTCTGGTGCATCACTGAATAAGGAGTCGCCGCAAATGACCCAATAGTAAACCCGGAAAAGCAAAACCAGAGGGCAACACGGTAAATGATGCAATTAAAAGACTATTTTTATTGAGCAAGAGAATGTGGAAAACCACAAATCAATACAACGTTTCGGTCGTATACATGACTACAGCTACGGCCAAAACGTTATGTTGATTATGTGGTTTTTCCTCCAGCTCAATAAAAATAGCCTTTTAATTGCATTATCTACCGTACCACCTTTAGATTTTGCTTTCTTGAATTTACTGCCTAGGTCAGGAGTAGGTAATAATTGGCAATCCAGATGTTCTGGACTATATCTCCCCTGATGCTTTGCCAGCAATAAGGCTGTAAATGCCTTATGGGAGATGTAGTCCACAACATCTGGATTGCTGAAGGTTGCATGATTGTAGTAGAGCCTCCTAAAGCCCGACAGCCGTTCTCCAATGGCCAATGAACTAAACTATCATTACTGCCTTCGCAACACATCTAGCACAGTTATGAAACAACAACAACCTAAAAATGAAAACACTCAATGTGTATGAGGGGTCTGATCCTGCAGGATATAAACCTGTACCATCAGTATTCTAAAATCAAGTGTATGTAATAGAGGACCTAACAAATCTTACAAAACATTGCAATATCTCTTTAAAACCTTCAGCATGTCCAATAGGTTCTACTATATGCTGCAGTGATTATGGTGCTTGGAGTATTCTATTAACATATTTTAATGTAGGCAACACCTGATATTTTAACACCTATAAATAATGTCGGTTTACATGGAACTTATGGTGTAGAAGGTGAGAGGGCTCCTTAATAACAGATATGTATTGCCACCTGACAAATGTCAGACAAATGACTTTTCCCATATTTAATTTTTATCAAGTTAATGATGGTAGGGGTAGATGACTAAAGAGTGGCTACACTACAGAAACGGTTGTAGATCCCTTGAATAGTCTTCCAGAAAGCTTGGTATGTGCCTAAAACTATCACAGCGAAGGAACTGAAGAATGCGGGGGATGTCTACAAGTGTAACACCATAAAGGAGTTCACAAATGCTCTGTGTATAAGGCTATTCTAAAGGGCAAATCAGTAAATAGACTTCATTATAGCAAAAAATAGGAGCAGGCAACTTTTGGCACTCCAGATGTTCTGGACTACATCCTCTTTGATGATTTGCCAGCAATAAGGCTGTAAGAGCCTTATGGGAGATGTAGTCCACAACATCTGGAATGCAGAAGGTTGCATGATTGTAGTAGAGCCTCCTAAAGCCTACAGCCGTTCTCTAGCTGTCAATGAACTAAACTATCATGATTACCTTCTCAACACATCTAGCACTGTTATTAAACAACAACAACCACCTAAAAATGAAAACACTGTGTCCACTCCACCTGAAAAGAGACAAACTCCATCCATGTCTGGATATCCCCAGGGGTTTCTCGTATCTTTCTATTATAATCCTCGATTTTCGTGAGAACACCCGTGTCTCTAGGCGCCAGCTGAGGCTCATCAGTTTTCAGACCACCTTTGCCTTCCAACCACAAAGCAGTAGAGGCATCATATACACCAAGTGGATTTACCCAGCTGGTAGGAATACTGGAGCTAGTTGAAACAGCCTGGCCTGTGGGTTCCATAGGTATAAAACCAGCCATTTCTGGGGACGTATTATTCCTAATGCACCCAACATGTTCCCCTTCGCACTGGAAGTGGCGCACTGCATTTTTGGTATAGTAGCGTTCAGTTTTCTTGTGCACTTTCGCCTTATTAGAAGATGAATTATCCCAGATAATCTGTTGCTTCCTGGGATTGATCCCTAGGCAGGAATTTCCTCTACGCCGGTATCTGGAAACAGAACAAACCAGTTGGTTAGAAATTACATTTCAAGGGCACTCTAGCCACTTAAGTTGGAGCCTCTGGCATTGTCATTCTGTTTAGTGCTGAAACGCTTTCAAATGGTTTAACAATCAACAAAGTGTTAAAGACACCCATTGCTGGTATGAAGTGGTATGGCTAAGGCAAGAGTACCTTAGACACATCTAAACTGGGAACCGGGAAAACAAATACTTTGTGTCTGTATTATTCCTCCGCCAACGGTGACAGTGCTGCTTTAAAACAGCTGGTAGTGCACGTTCTGTCATAAGCAGCAGAATAAAATGAACACTAATACAAATAAAATTACTGAGATTTCAAGATAATAGGTCAAATTAGACCTGAGCACACAATCTGCTTATTGAAATAGTCCATCAGTATTAAAACTCTGTGATATACAGCCAAGCTGCTGATCGTTTGCATAATTCATTAAATCAAATCAAGTGTTTCCTTTCTCTAAGAGAACCATTTAGTAAATGCTAGGTCTTTTATGATATTAAAAAGAAGATACATAAAAATACAGACAACATTTAAGATGATTCTTTATATTGCGTTTAATGAAATTCTGTCGGAGCTGCCTGGTGGTTTCATTCTGGTAAACTACTGCACAGGCTGAATTTAGCAGGCAACATTTGGGGAGAATCAAACTGTATCTTACAGGAAACAGGGGCAAAACATAACTTTAACTTAACTTTAAATAACACTAAGTTTCATTAGGCAGTCTGTACCACAGATTTTATAAAGTTTGAACAGTCAATTTTTGGTATACAGTTCAATGGCACAGCATATATGACGAAAATTGGCTGACGTAGATTGTGGTTGTGAAGATTATATTTGTGCACTTAAAGGACCACTATAGTGCCAGGAAAACATACTAGTTTTCCTGGCACTATAGTGCCCTGAGGGTGCCCCCACCCTCAGGGTCCCCCTCCCGCCCGGCTCTGGAAGGGGGAAAGGGGTAAAAACTTACCTTTTTCCAGCGCTGGGTGGGGAGCTCTCCTCCTCCGATCCTCCTTCTCTCCTCCCCGTCGGCTGAATGCGCATGCGCGGCAAGAGCTGCGCGCACATTCAGCCGGTCACATAGGAAAGCATTCATAATGCTTTCCTATGGACGCTTGCGTGCTCTCACTGTGAAAATCACAGTGAGTAGATGTAGATGTTCCTTGCACTGGGAGATGTTCCTTGCACTGGGAGTCACAGAACTGCTTCGCAAACAGGGCCAACTGTACAGGACTTGTGCTTGAGGTAGGATTGAATTGAGGGTGGGTGTTACAGCAAGTGTAACATCCACACATCTTACATTGTGGTAGTGCTCTCAATACGAGTGGGGTAAGTATTGAATCGATGTCCATTTTTTTAAATCTATCTCATATATTTATTGCTAAAGAAACCGTACACTGGAAGTGAACCTGTCCTGAAACTTTAAAGAGTTATTCATCAACCTCAACAGGAAAAGTAATGATAGTCTACAATTTTTTTTGCTGCAGTCACGTCACGTGCAAACTGAGCCATGAATTTATTCAGGTATCTCTGAAACACTGTGACATTTCTGTTTGACATTGGATTTCTGGCCATGACTTCATTTCCACTATAGATTTTTGGTTTTCCAATCAAAATATATCTTGTATGACTCTTTGCTTTATTATTATTATTATTATTATTATTAAATTCTGCAGCGCTGTACAATGGGTGGACTAACAAACACGTATCTATAACAAGACAAGTTGGACACACAGGAACAGAGGGATTGAGGGAACGGGGTATAGTGACACAAAAGGGAAGGGTAGGGTAGCTTTAGAAAAGTTGTGGAATTTGGTGTCGCTATATTAAATTTACACTCCAAGTAATAAAACTACTGCATCTTAATTAAGTGCTTTGGATGCAAAAATATTGCCAAATGTAAATATTGTTGTTTGTAAGAGGGTTCCTTTAAAAAGAAAATTCATGTTATTTTAGGAGCAGACTAGCCTGAGTTACTTTGATTGTCTTTCAAGGTTTAGTGCAGACTCCTCACCTTGCTATGTCTCCTCGGTAAAGCGATTTATATTCCCAATTCGCAGGGTCAGCTTTCTTATCAATTCTGAATGTCTCCTCTGTCAGAGACTGAGCTTCATCCAGCCATACCCAGCGGCCAGAGTCTGATATCGGAGTGTCCTGCCTGCAAGGAAGATACATTTACCAGAGATAATTAGTAGAGAACATCATGGCAAATGATAATTAGCAAAGAACATAACATTGCATTAATCTCACAATAAGTATTTAACACTGAGTGGTCTGCAAGCGCACTTAACATAGAAGGGGTTAAAGAAGAGTTGAGCCACAGCAGGCCTGGCAATTGGTCAGCCTGTATCTGCCAGATCAATAATTAATCCATCACCTACACATAAGTAACAATGGCCACTTTCCAATATCCCATCCGAAAAAACATTAACATGTGCATATATCTTTAGTCCTGTAGTGGAAGCTGCCCTTTTCTTTTCTTTTCTTAATGCCCTGCTTCAAGTAAAGGGACAAAACTACTATATCTCAATGCAGTGTTTCTGGTACATAGATTGTGCCTCTTTTCTTTGGAAATGTAAAACAATGCCATTTCAGAGAAGAAGCAATATTTATATTTTGCACAAAACATGCTGCTAGTGGCTGGCAAACAGATAGCCACTAGATATACTGTTTCCTTAAGACCTTCAAATATGGTGTCATGAGTCATCATCACACACAGCATTACTGTGCTGATTACATCCACTGCTTCTCAAGAAGCACTGGAGTCAATACTTTACTAAGAGAAGCATTAGACTGGCACATAACGGAGGTTGCCAAGCATGCGCCTATTTTGGTTAGAGATCATCATACCTAATGGTGCCACGTAAAAGGAGCACCTACAGGGAGGAGACAGTCTCAGTGCTGGATTAAAAGTAAGTTTTTAGTACCCTTTTTTAAAAAGAGGGGGATCCTGAATCTAAAAACAATAATGAATATACACACAGACAAACTAAGGCTAAACAACATATACAGGAAATATTATGTTAAAGGGACATTATACTCCCCAGAACCACTACAGCTTAAAGCAGTGGTTCTGGTGTCTATAACCTGTACCTGCAGGCTAAGCAATGAAAATGCTGCCATTTCAGAGAAAATGCAGTTTTTACATTGCTGCCTAGGTACACCTATAGTGGCAGTCACCCAGGTGCTTCCTGGGTCAGTGCTGCAGAGTGTGTCCCCAAACTCTGCATGGAGGCACTGAACATTCCCTGTGGAGAAGTTTTACTATGAGGAAATGCGGATTACCACAATGCCACGTTTTGTTGCACATACGCAATAGCCTCCCAATGTTTTCCTGGATTGGCTGAAATAATCAAACTGATAAGCTCAACCATAGAGGCAGGGCCAGCAGCGGTGAGACCGGCGTGATATGGAAAAACAAGTGTGTAAAAACGCCTTTCCAAAGCGATCAGAGGAGTGCTGGTCACCTAAATAGTTAAACACTATAACGTCAGGAATACATGTTTTTTTTACTATAGTGTTCCTTTAATTACACAACCACCATATCATCTGCATGAAAAAAGTACTTATAATTCTTTGCATATACTGCCCACTCGCTGAATAAAATTCATTGCTCCCCCTTCTAATAGTTTACCGTTCATCTGTAAACTTCCTTGTCCCATCTGTGGATTCTTTGTCACTGCTACTGATATCATCATCGTGCTTCTTTTTCTTCTTAGATTTTTTTTTCTTTTTCTTCTTTTTCTTCTTTCCTGCTGCCTTTGATTCAGTCTGACTATCTTCAGACAGCTCCGATGGGGACCGACTCCTGTGGGGAGAAATCATACACTCTGTAAAGAACAGCAGAAAAATCAGCAGAAACCACTTGAAAATGAACTGCAGAGATTGTGCCTTTCAGGCGTTATTTGTTCTTAGCAAGTGTCCATTTGTTTATAAAACTAGTTTACTAGGAGGTACAGGTTGATTAATTGAGATTAATTCCCTGAACAGAGAAATCAACGGGAAAACAAATACATCGCCAACTCAGCTAGTAAGGCAGGGCTTGACAAATTTGCTTAGAATCTTGGAGTCAGCTGAAAAAGATTTTTTTTTTTAAATCTTACAAAAGCTTTATTTTAATGACAAAAATACAATTCTTAAAGGGACACAACAGACAACAAGACCTCTGCAGATTAATCCTAGTCCCTTTTCAAAGTAAACACTGCCTTTTCAGAGAAAAAGAAGTGTTTACATTGCTGCCTAATGATACCTCTAGTGACTGACACTCAGAAGGCCACTAAAGTGCTTCCTATCTCAGTGCTGCACAGTGTGCAGCACCTACATTCAGCGCCTGCACGTTTTGCATGGAGGCACTTAACGTTCCCAATAGAGATGCATTGATTCAATGCATCTCTGAGATGCTAACTGGCATAGCAGTTTGCAGGGAATGCGTAATAGCTTCCCAATGGGAGTAGAGCAGGAAGATCACAGCTCACAGGCCTACAGTACGTGAAGCCGGCCACTCGCTCCCGAGGGAATGGACTGACAAATCCCAAACATCAGGCCAGCTATCCTGGTGGCCAAGGCGACCTGGAATTTGTTGAGCCGTCTAGTGAGGCCCAATATTTGCATCTCAAAAAAAGTAAAAGGGTGTACAATTTGCATAATAATAATATATAAGACAATATTCACAATAATGTATGTAATTTTCAAAATGGAAAACTCCCAGATACAACAAATAGTCTTTTTTTCTGTGCCTCCCCCATTCCACGTGAGTCTCTGACATGTTTGCTTGTTGATCAGGTTTTTGGACAACTGCCTGCAGATTGGTGAAGTATTTCTTGCATAGACACAGATGACTTCCGTTTTGACACATCTGAATGGATACTTGCTGGCACACAAAGAAACTTTACAATCACCAGCAATTATGTGCATTTATATACAATTGCTGTTTAAAGGATCCCACAGAACTTTCCTATATATTCCTTAAAGGACCACTCTAGGCACCCAGACCACTTCAGCTTAATGAAGTGGTCTGGGTGCCAGGTCCTTCTAGGGTTAACCCATTTTTTCATAAACATAGCAGTTTCAGAGAAACTGCTATGTTTGTGAATGGGTTAAGCCTTCCCCTATTTCCTCTAGTGGATGTCTCATTGACAGCCACTAGAGGCGCTTGCGTGCTTCTCACTGTGATTTTCACAGTGAGAGCACAGTGAGAGCACGCAAGCGTCCAAAGGAAAGCATTATGAATGCTTTCCTATGTGACCGGCTGAATGCGCGCGCAGCTCTTGCGGCGCGTGCGCATTCAGCTGACGGGGAGGAGAAGAGGAGGATCGGAGGAGGAGAGCTCCCCGCCCAGCGCTGGAAAAAGGTAAGTTTTTACCCCCTTCCAGATCCGGGCGGGATTGGACTGTTCTGTAGAGTTCACTAGAGATAAACATAACTGCCTTGCTTTGTAGGAGTGATACCTGGAGGTTCTAAAAATAAAAAGGTCCTTGCAGCCTGGAAAGATATTGTTAACCCCTTATTGACCAGACCGTTTTTCAATTTTCTTACCGTTCAGGACCAGGGCTATTTTTACATTTCTGCTGTGTTTATGTTTAGCTGTAAGTTTCCTCTTACACTGTTTTTCTCGCCATTAAATGGTCTTTCTAAATATACCATTATTTTCATATCATTTAATTTACTATAAAATTTTTTTATAAAATATGATGAAAAAATGAACAAAAACCTATTTTTCGAACTTTGACCCCCAAAATCTGTTGCGCATCTACAACCGCCAAAAAACACCCGTGCTAAATAGTTTCAAAATTTTGTCCTGAGTTTAGAAATGTCCAATGTTAACAGTTATAGGGCTATAAGTACAAGTAACACTTTGCTATTTCAAACCAATTTTTTTCTAAATTAATGCAAGTTACATTGTAACACTGATATCTGTCAGGAATCCCTGAACAAATATATATATATATATTTGTAAAAAGAAGACAACCTAAGGTAGTAAACTTATTTGACTCTTTTCATGCAACTATTTTACCACCAATCCATGCCAAATTTAAACAAAACAAAAATAAAATTGGTGATCTTTTTGACACACGTAGCAATTTAAGAATACATGTATGGAGAACTTTAAGGGTTACTGCCAAAGAACACCCCAATATGTGTTCAGCAACATCTCCCGAGTACAGTGACACCCCCCATGTATAGGTGTGTCTGATTCTCTGGGTGTTAAAAGACCTTATTTGAGACCAGAAAAAAATAGAAAGAAATGGGATCTGTGTGAAAATGGGTGTAAAAAGGAATAAACACTATCTCCACACTGATCCCATGCACCAGGAGGGCACTCCAGCAATGCCCAAGGGCTTAACCCTAGATACTAGCAACATAAACAAAATATGCAAAAATTCACAAACTGAATATAATGCAGACTGGAGATAAAGACGTAGACACCAAAGCATCCAGTGGTATGGAACAATGTAACCAGAGGGAGACCACTAAACAGCTGAAATAACAGAAAGTATCAACACAAAAATAAACTGTGACTCCAAATAATAATAAATACCGAACTAGCCTTATAAGGCTACTCCCATGCCTAATAAGTTAGGGGATAAAGTTACTAAACACCTAATTCTGCAATATTCATATAGGCTTTATTAGTCCTGGCCCTTTAATGCATAGGGTGTTAGTAAATCTCCACTTAGTACTGAAGCACCAGAAAGAGTGCCAAAGGGAGAAAGGTCACTGTCTAAAAGATTGGCTGATCTAATAATCAAACGTAGACAGACGGTTAAATTAAAATAAATACATTTCTCTCCTTGAGGGACTTACTAGATGGCATAGAAGAAAAAATGTAAATCATAAACTCCCATGCCTAAGTAAGTGAGGAGATGAAGTGCTAAACACCCAAATCTGCAATATACATATAGGCTTAATGAGTCCTGGCCTTTTAATGCATAGGGTGTTAGTAGATCTCCCTTTAATTCCTGAGCACCGGTAAAAATGCTAAAGGGAGAAAGGTTACTGTCTAGAGCATGGGTCCTCAAACTCCGCCCCCCCAGATGTTGCTGAACTACAACTCCCATGATTCTTTGAATTATATAGATAGACAGAGAATCATGGGAGTTGTAGTTCAGCAACATCTGGGGGGGCAGAGTTTGAGGACCCATGCTCTAGAGGATCAGCAACACTAATAATCAAAGGTAGGACAAGTAAAGTAAAGAAAGCCTCTCTCCCTGTTAAACTTACTAAATAGGCATAGAAGAAAAAAACTGAAAGAAAAAGCTCATAGGGACTCTCCAGTGCCAGGAAAACAATCTGTTTTACTGGCACTGCAGGTGCCCTCTCCCTCCCACCATCAATCCCCGGTTGCTGAAGGGGTGAAAACCCCTTTAGTGACTTACCTGAGACCCCCGCCGATGTCCCTCGGCGGTGGTTTCGGGTCGCCGCCGCTCCTCCCCTTCATCACGTCAGCCGGCAGGGGAGACTGATCCCGGCCACCTGCTGAGAAGACCTAATGTGCATGCGCGGTAATGCCGCGCACGCGCATTAGAGCTCTCCATAGGGAAGCATTGAACATGCTTTTCAATGCTTTCCTATGGGGAATTGAGAGACGCTGGAGGTCCTCACACAGCGTGAGGACGTCCAGCGACGCTCTAGCACAGAAAACTTGTGCTATGAATCAGGAAGTGCCCTCTAGTGGCTGTCTAGTAGACATGAAAACTGCAATAATTACACTTGCAGGGTTAAGGGTGGTGGGAGTTGGCACCCAGACCACTCCAATAGGCAGAAGTGGTCTGGGTGCCTGGAGTGTCCCTTTAAATAACAAAAACATGTACCACATAGTGAGAAGTGCCCATGTGTGTGCGCAAGTTAAAACGGACCCATAGGAAAGAGCCTGACACGCTTTTCGGTGCAGTATATATGCAGCTTCGTCAGAGGCAGGTCTCCAGTCAGCATTATATTCAGTTTGTGAATTTTTGCTTTTTTATTTCAAATGGTGGTATTTTAACACTTTCCATGCACTAATTCTACCACCAGTCTTTGTCAAACTTTTGGGTAGTCGTTTTTTTTGTGTCATTTTTCTCTCACATTGTACTGTAGGCATGGATTCTCAGTTCCCGTTATGTGTTACTGACAAAGAAACCCCCAACAGGTGTTCAGCAACATCTCCTGATGTGCCCCCAAAGTACAGTTTTTAGGGCTTTCCCCTTTTCCATGTTTGCACATTGAAATTTGCCAGATTGGTTTGCTGGACCTATATTGCCATTGAGACCATATAGCAGCCCAGGAATGAAAATTAACCCCATCATGGCATACCATTTTCAAATGTAGACCCAGGGTATTCAAAATGGAGTATCGTCCAGTCTTTTGTAGTAGCCACTTCGTCACAAACGCTGGCCAAAGTTAGCAGTTTTCTTAGTTTTTTGCCTTTTTTTTCTATACAAAAACTGCACTTTTACTGGTGATTTCATCGTCAGAATACGTTTTACTGATTTATAACACTCATATTTGTGTTCAACAAATTCTCCCGAGTATAACAATAACACCCATGTACAAGTTTTATGGTGTTTTGGATTGTTACAGAGTCAATATGGGGCTTTCCCAATTCAGTTTGCTAGATTGGTTTGCTGGGCCTGTGTTGCCTTTTGAGACCATATGGTAGCCCAGGAATATGAAATAACCCCATCATGGCATACCATTTTCAAATGTAGACAACCCAGGGTATTCAAAATGGGGTATGTTCAGTCTTTTGTAGTAGCCACTTAGGCACAATTGCTGGTCAAAGTTTGCAGTTTTCTTTGTTTTGTGTTTTACAAATGACATGTGCACCAGAGCAGGGAATCCCCATGACAGCTCGCACTTATGCCTGGTCGTAAATGCGAGCTGTGGTAAAACAGGTAGGTCGCTAAATGACGACTACCTGTATGTATGTGTATATATATATATATATATATATATATAAAAAAAATATTTATTTAAGCAACCTGGGGGACTGCCTGACAGCTCAGACAGTCCCCCTGTGTCAGCTCCTAGAGTCCTATTGCGGTGATGTGATCATGGTAATCACATGGCGCTGGAGGGCCGGGGTGGCCGGAGCTGCTGTAGGGGGACTCCTGGGGTCTCTGGCAGTCCTCCCTGACCGTGATCGCCGCGGCTCGTCGGCCCAGGGTTCCTATTTGTCACGGACGTCCTTAACGAGCGTTTTTTGTCGGACGTACCTAGTTCGTCCTCGGTCGTTAAGGGGAAATTATACATAGATAGATAGAATTAAATTATATATATATATATATATATATATATATATATATATATATATATATATATATATATATATATATATATATATATATATATCTCTCTCTCTGAGTGTATTTTGATATAAATATATATGTTAATATCAAAATACAGTGAAAATAAAATGACATAATTTTTAAAAACTGTAAAAAATTATTTGTTATAATATATAGTTGCACAAAATGGAGAAATAAAGTAAACAGAGTGCAGGTCAGGAGTCTGGATACAAGTCAAGGGCTCATGAGCTGCATGAACTGGAACTTAGATGCTAGCTAGTACTCCAGACAATTGATCCCCTGGGCACCGTTTAGTAGATCTCCCTTTTTTCCAAGTTGTACTTTTTGTTTGCATATCCCTTTTAATCCTTAGATTGATTAAAGGTAGGGCCTCCCTTCCTCATTTCTTATACAGTGGAGCTCTCCTGATGTTGGTTTCCCCTTGTGGGACTCTACACATCACCTACTCCTATTACATAATATATAGTTATTTTATAATGTGTGTGTGTGTGTGTGTGTGTGTGTGTGTGTGTGTGTGTGTGTGTGTGTGTGTGTGTGTGTGTGTGTGTGTGTGTGTGTGTGTGTGTGTGTATATATATATATATATACACACACACACACACACGTAATTTTACTCTTAAGTGTATTTTTATGTTAATATATGTATATATTAATAAAAAAATACTCTTAGTATGACGTTATATATAAGATAGATATATATGTCAGTTCAGGCAGCCCCCCTGCTGTCAGCACAATGGACACCTATGGGTGGTCACATGGCCCCTGGGGGTCCAAAATTAAAGAGAGGGTACTCTCTGGGCTCAGTCCAGAGAGTCCCCTGAAAGAAGAAGACCGATCGCCAGCAGGGGAACGGCGGCGATCGGTAAGTACATGGGGAGGGGTTAATTTTTATTTTTTTTAAACAATTACTGAGTGCCTCAACCCCTCGGGGCACTCAGTAAAGGTAAGAGCATCTGAAGCCTGTGCATGGCTTCAGATGCTCTTCCCTACGTTGCCGGGCGCCACGTGCAGCAAACCCGGAAGTGATCGCACTGGGGGGCGATCACTCGGGTACCCGGCAGTGTAGGGGGGGTATTACACGATGCCTCGATATCAAGGCATCGTGTAATACCATAAGAGCGGCTGGAAGCGATCACAATCGCTTCCAGCGCTCAAATTTACTGCGGACGTATCAGGTACGTCCGCGGTCATTAAGGACCATTTTTTGTCGGACGTACCTCATACGTCTGCAGTCCTTAAGGGGTTAAACCCCTAACAGCCAGCAAAAAATTCAAAGAGAGCTTTACTGCTCATTTATATACATTTTCCCTATATGGATGATTACTCTAAAGGGACACTAGGAGCCCAGTGGATTCCAGGTAATAAGTCAGAACATATGACTATTTAATAATATATCTATGCAATTAACCCCTTAAGGACATAACTTCTGGAATAAAAGGGAATCATGACGGAATATTTCCTTCATGTGTCCTTAAGGGGTTAAATCTAAGATCGATCGATACACACACTATGGACAAAAGTATTGGGATAACTGACCATTACACCAACAGGAACTTTTATGACATTCCATTCTAAATACATAGACATTAATATGTAGTTTGTGGCCCCATTGCAGCTATAACAGATTCCACTCTTCTGGGAAGGCAGTCCACAAGATCTTGGAGTGTTTCTGTGGAAATTGTGCACATTCATCTAGTAGAGCATTTGTGAGGACAGGATCAAATGTTGGAGGAGAAGCCCTGACTCGCAATCTCTGCTCCAGTTCATCCCAAAGTTGTTTGATGGAGTTGAACTCAGGGCTCTGTGTGGGTCAGTCAAGTTCTTCCACACAAAACTCACAGTTTGTGTGCTGATATTAATGCCAGTGGAAGTTTGGAACTCTTCAGCTATGGAATCAGCAGAGCATTGGTGACTTTTACACACAATGTGCCTTACCACTCAGTGACTTGCTCTTTGACTTTATGCAGTATTCCACTTTGTGGCTGAGTTGCTGCTGTTCCTAAACGCTTCCACTTTCCAATAATACCACTTACAGTTCATTGTAGAATATCTAGCAGGAATGTAATTTCAAACTGGCATATTGCAAAGGTGGCATCCTATCCCAGTACCATGCTTGAATTCACTGTGCTGTTCAGAACGACCCATTTTTCCCCACAAATGTTTGTAAATTCAAACTGCATGGCCAGGTGCTTGATCTGATACACCTGTGGCAATCGGTCTGATTGAAACACCTGAGTTAAATAGTTAAGAGCTGTGTCACAATACTTTTGTCCATAGTGTGTGTGTGTATATATATATATATATATATATATATATATATATATATAAATAGATATAGCGTTATGCATGTCAAGCATTTAACTTTTTTTTTTTTTTTTAAACTGTAACAAGCCATTTTTCTGAAATTCCAGGACCATAAAACATGGGAATCCCAATGAAATACGACAAACAGAAATGCTGTGTAGGCCGAGCATTACAAGAGTTTAATCTCCTAAAATCCTCACTTGAATAAACACTAAAATTGAACTGAACAACTCCTGATCATTCTTTGCTATATTTCAGGCAGGGTGCCATAAAAGCATACACGGTTCATCCTTTGTGCAATAATGGTGCGCTACCTGGATCTGGAGGTCACAGGTTGAGAGGGGAGTGCAGCCTGCAGTGCGCGTTGGTGCAGTGACAAGGCATCCTCGGTGCAGAAGCTTTTGTTGCTGAGCCAATCCAACTCTGCAGATGTAGGAGGGGGAGAAGAAGAGATCAATAATATGACATCACAAAGCTCTTAAAAACCGCAGATCTATTAGGCCTAGGACAACGTCCCAAATGTCATTATCCCCCTTCTGTGCTATTTAACCCTTCAAAGTCATACCCCATTTCCTTCAGTGGTTTTTGCCGTTATCTCACGGTCTGTCAGGAGTCTGTAATAAAATGCTATTTGCACCAAATAAGCCATAAAACTCAGACTCACTCAACTGCCTATACATAGTTTTACTTATTAAAAGACAGAGATCGAGGAAGAGCACTTTCAACAGAAGCCAATTTTTACAGTTTTGGGATCTGTGATTATCTAAGGAACTAAAAACGTGGGTCAAAAAGGCAAGCATTCTGTTACACTCCATGCATTCTGTAGTGGTTATGGTTTCGGGAGTGCCCAGGTTCCCGTCCAAAGTAAATAATCAGTTTGACACATTACCTGGATTCCACTAGGCATCTGCAACAACCTCTGCTGATGGAAGCTCTTTCCACTGAGCTAAGATTTCCCCGAGTAGGACAGCAATTACTGGCACATTTCATGCCTTACATTTTGGCACATAACTATTATACTGTCAGAGTGTGTGTGTGTGAGTGTGAGTGAGAAAGAGAGAGACTGCCAGTGTGTGTGTGTGTGTGTGTGTGTCTGTGAGAGCCTGCCAAAGTGTAGGTGTGTGTGTGTGTGTGAGAGCCTGCCAAAGTTTATGTATGTGTGTATGTGTGAGAGAGAGCCTGTCAGAGTGTGTGTGTGAGAGCCTGTCAGAGTGTGTGTGTGAGAGAGAGAGCGAGTGTGAGTGTGTCATACAACTGGATCAGGAATTCAAGGCTGCGTACTGCTCCCAGGGTGACTTTTTGTATTTAAATGCACTTTACAGCATTTATATCGAATTTAATTTAAGATGAAACTTCCCCTTTAGAGAGGCGGTTTGGAGATTCCAATAAAAATAAAAATAAACAAAATCAGCTATCGTAACTCTTTGGGGGAAGATGTAACTGTAAACTAGGCCCTGACGAATGAGTAAAAAAAAAAAAAATGTATCTTGTGTATAGAACGCAGGATTTACATTCCTGAATACTGTGTGAAATGGTGAATAAAAGTACTCGGGACCATGCACAAGGAAACCCCAAACAGAAGCGTTCCCCAGAATCCATTACGCCACCAAAACAATTATGTGCACAATCATCATGATTAAATATGAAATCGCCATATGTAGGAACATTCCAGTATAAGCAATTTGCCTTTGTTTTAACTCTATCGTTGCCCTTAAAATACAAACAAATGACTAAAAGAGATAGATGACTTTATTAGCAGTTGCTAGAGTTAAGACGAGATAACTTACCTATACTCTGTACATTTACCATTTTTTTAAAATAAACTAGTTCTACACAAATCTACTGTTAACCACTTAACGCTGTTACGACGTTCTATGCCGTCCCGGCGGCATAGAACGCTGTAACGGCTTAAGCCCCCAGGAGGTGAGATCTACTCAACTCCGCCGCGATCCTCTTCTGGAGGGCTGCCTGACAGCCCAGGCAGCCCTCCCCCGACAAATGAGGCACCCGGGGGCCATGTGATCGCTCTCAAAGAGCGATCACATGGCCCCCTATAGCTGGCTGTGGATCTGCCAGCAGGGGGACTGTCTAAAATATCAGAGAGAGATTAAAATACACTTAGAATGACGTTACACATACATAATATATATATATATATAACAAAATACACTTAGAATAGAGAGAGAGAGAGAGAGAGAGAGAGAGAGAGAGAGAGAGAGAGAGAGAGAGAGAGAGAGAGAGATAAAAGATTACATTAGTATACACGTAGATTTTAAATACCTATAAATGCATATATTTTAAAATTCTACGTGTATATTTAAGTAATCTTTTAACATAATTATGTGATTTGATTAATTAAAATTTAACTGACATGCCTGACAACACAGGGAGAAAGTGCAGAGAATTAAATTCGCAAGCACTATATTTGACCCTGTAACTCTCCAAGACACCATAAAACCTGTACATAGGGGGTACTGTTTTACTCGGGAGACTTCGCTGAACTCAAATATTAGTGTTTCAAAATGATAAATTGTATTACAACTATAACATTTTAAGTAAAAGTGACTTTTTTTTTACAAACGAACTGCACTTTTATGGACTATATTATTGTTGTAATATGTTTTAAAACACTAATATTTGTGTTTAGTGAAGTCTCCAGAGAATAACAGTACCCCCCATGTACAGGTTTTATGGTGTTTTGGAAAGTTAGAGAGTCACATATAAGGCTTGCATTTCATTTTTTTGACATTGAAATTTGCCAGATTGGTTATGTTGCCTTTGAGAGCGTATGGTAGCCCAGGAATGAGAATTACCCCCATGATGGCATACCATTTGCAAAAGTAGACAACCCGAGGTATTGCAAGTGAGGTATGTCCAGTCTTTCTTAGTAGCCATTTAGTCACAAACACTGGCCAAATATAATTTTTTTTGCTTTTTTCACACAAAAACAAATATGAACGCTAACTTTGGACAGTGTTTGTGACTAAGTGGCTACTAAAAAAGACTAAACATACCCCACTTTCAATACCTTGGGTTGTCTACTTTTTCAGATGGTATGCCATTATGGGGGTAATTCTCATTCCTGGGCTACCACACCGTCCCAAAGGTATCATTACTAACCTGGCAAATTTCAATTTGAAAATGGAACGTTCTATATTTGACCCAGTAACTTTTCAAAACACCATAAAACCTGTTAATAGGGGGTACTGTTGTACTCGTGAGACATTGCTGATTACAAATATGTGCATTTTTTTGCAGTAAAACCTAACAGTATTATGACATTAACAGCTAAAATGTCAGACGGAAATACAAATTTTAAAAAAAAAAATCTTATTTTTTAAAATTTTATTCATAATAAATTATGTTCCAAATATGAATAGTTAATGATAAATTAAAGCCCTGTTTCTCCTGAACAAAATGATATATAATAAGTGTGGGTGCACTTAATGTGACAGCGGTGAATTACGGGTGAACAGACAAATAGCGCAAATTCCAGTTTTTGTTTACGTTTTGATCAGAACTCCGTCCTGAAGGGGTTAACTGAACATGTTTATTATTGATTTATTTTTTTTATTAAGGTAAATGCACAAAATATACATGCCAGTCAGAATTTATGTTTTCAAGAATATATATGTGTGTGTGTAGTGGATGCAGTGTGTATGTGTTTATATAGTGAATGCAGAGTGTGTTTGTGTAGTGTGTATATAATGAATGCAGAGGGTGTTTGTGTAGTGTGTGTATAGTGAATGCAGAGTGTGTTTGTGTAGTGTGTGTATAGTGAATGCAGAGTGTGTTTGTGTAGTGTGTGTATAGTGAATGCAGAGGGTGTTTGTGTAGTGTGTGTATAGTGAATGCAGAGGGTGTTTGTGTAGTGTGTGTATAGTGAATGCAGAGGGTGTTTGTGTAGTGTGTGTATAGTGAATGCAGAGTGTGTTTGTGTAGTGTGTGTATAGTGAATGCAGAGTGTGTTTGTGTAGTGTGTGTATAGTGAATGCAGAGTGTGTTTGTGCAGTGTGTGTATAGTGAATGCAGAGTGTGTTTGTGCAGTGTGTGTATAGTGAATGCAGAGTGTGTTTGTGCAGTGTGTGTATAGTGAATGCAGTGAGTGTTTGTGCAGTGTGTGTATAGTGAATGCAGTGAGTGTTTGTGCAGTGTGTGTATAGTGAATGCAGTGAGTGTTTGTGCAGTGTGTATATAATGAATGCAGAGTGTGTTTAATATAAATTATATATTCATATGTAATTTCATTCTAACTGTATTTTGTTATATATATATATATATATATATATATATATATATATCAAAATACACTTAGAATTACATTCTAGAGAGAGAGAGAGAGAGAGAGAGAGAAAAAAAAGGGGAAAACCAAACTGTTCTTTAAGACATATATATATATATATACATAGGCAATTAGCAATTATAAGGTGATTACATAATTGCTGACATAAAGTTGATTAACACAACACATTATATTTGAGAAGACATGATTCAAGTGTGTGAAACCAGAAATTACATCTTATAAAAAATAAAAAAAAAGTTAAACATATCTGTAAGATTACAAAACTGGTAATCTGTGAAGCACAGTCTATAGCAGTCAAAGTAACATGAATGAGTATAATAATATTCCATTATAATGATACTACCACACATATAAAATCATTATAAAGCCCCAGAGAGCAGGTCTGGATATAGTTACCTGTTCTGACAGGAGTTGCATTATCATTACTAGAAGTAGACGCTGCAAATGCTGGAAACAGAGACATGTTTTCTGGTCTATCAACAAACGCGTCGCGTACTACATGCGTCACGCATAGCCCCCACCGGACTCCATTAACCAGCATGCAGTTCGCTCTGTTAATCCTTGTGTTGCTCACAGCCATGTCAAACTGCATGCTGGTAGCTGTAGTCCTCCGTGTTGTCTTACCAATTCAAAGTTTCCCCTGGTCTTTGCTGAGATTCTAAAATCAAACCAATTAATGACTAAAGTTGTTACAGGTCATATTATAAAGACCTGTCTTACTTAGAACAAATTCTAGTAACCACTTAATAAGCAGTCTTTGTAGTGACAGTCTTAACACACACTGACTATCTGCAGCAAATGTGTAAAGTGTGATGTTTCCCCAGTGTTAACTTCTGGAAAAAAAAAAACTTTTTTGAAGAAATGACAGTAAGTGTGAAAGAATTATCACCATTAATTTACAAATACAGAGTGTATGCAGTGAATGTGATGTGCCAGTGGCACTGTCACCTCAGAGTTTGTTTTCTTTAATTAATCACACTGTGTCCATTTGGTTATATATATTTAATTAATATTTATTTATTATGGACATTTATAAAGTGCCAACATATGCGGCAGCGCTGTACAACTGGGAAAAAATACAGTGCAATATAAACAGACCAATACAAAATGGCATAGCCTGGGAGCGGAATGAACATTTTAAAAGAACATGTTTTTTTTTTTAAACTGTTTTTTAACTGTTTATTAGATATACTTCCACAGATAAAATGTATATTTTTTTATATGCCTGTTTACTTTGGTTTTATATGAAAACAAAAAGCTGCAGGTCTGCTTCCAGCACAATCTGCAAGCTCTCACCTCTTTTGTTTAGAAAATTTTCAGTCAGAGGCTTCATTGAGAAGGCTCTGTGATGGAGTTGCAAACGCACAAGTGATTGCAGCTTTGTAATGCTTCTCACTGAGTTCGATGGTGCTGTCCTTCCATTCAGCTTACCAACCAACATCCCGGCTCCCAATGAGGGCAGGACATGCATGGAATACTGCTACGGTAACGGGGCAATTCCCCGCCAGAACATAGTACAGCGCTCCCTCTCCCTTACCCCTCCTCAGCTCTTCCCTGCAGGGCCGGCACTATCCAAGCGCCGGCCCTGCTGTATGCCTTCATGAACCAGAGGGGAGATCAGAGATCTCCCTCATTGGCACACAGGTATTTTGCTGGGCAGCTGGCAGAGAGGGAGAGGGGACCCGGGAGCTCAGCCTGCAGTTCTGCAAGATTCTCCTCTCGCAAGCTTGGAACATTGCCGCCGTTACCATGGCAATGCTCTTGCTAGAGTGAACTCAAGCCCCAGAAATTACAGGCAATAGTTAAAGGGACACTGTAGGCACCCAGACCACCCCTGCCCATTGGAGTGGTCTGGGTGCCAACTCCTACTACTCTTAACCCTGTAAGTGTAATTATTGCAGTTTTTTATAAACTGCAATAATTACTTTGCAGGGTTAACTCCACCTCTAGTGGCTGTGTACTAGACAGCCACTAGAGGGCAACTCCTGGATTATAGCACAGAAAACCTGTGCTAGAGCATCGCTGGACATCCTCCCGCTGTGTGAGGACCTCAAGCGTCGCTCAATTGTTGTTTTTGCAATTCACAGATTTATTCTCTGTGGAACCCTTTGACATAGTGTATCAACATCGTGAAATCTCCCCAACCCCCTGCCCCCAAAAAACAAAAAAAAATGCACCGTTGCATCAACCTTTTTGTTGTATGTGCTGGTGTGTGTATCTGTGTTTGTATGTGTCAGTGTGTATCTGACACAGATTCACACACACTGGCACATTGTGGCCCACAGACACCTTGACACACAGTGTGTATCTGTCTGTGTGTATGTATGTATCTGTGTGTCAACGTCTGTGTATCTGTGACACATGCAGACCTTGACACACATACACACAGGTCATAATGTTTATATTTGCAGCCACCTTCCTGTTAGGTTACCTTTTCTCTGCAGGAGAGTGACTGGGGCTGCTGGCTAAGGTTTCTGGCTGCTAACTGAGGCTGAGGCTGCTGACTGATCTCTGGTGTGCTGCAGCTCACTCCTCACTGCAGCCCCTCTCTCCCCATACGATACTGCAGGGGTCTGGTCGCGGTTTTAAGCAGCCACAGTGCCTGACCGGGCCCCTGTTTAGGCATACTCATCAAGTGCTTGGGCCACCCGATGGGCAAACTGCGGCGGGACCCCAATGTTGTTCTCACGGAAACCTAGGGTACCGCGAATCACCAATTGGGAAACACTGCTCTAAAGTATAAATTAATGGGAATTCCAAGTGAAGTCCATTTCTGCTCACAGGGCCTAAAAAGTGAAATTTACTTTCAATTTACTTTGAATTCCCAACAATTCACACTTCATCTGCCTGTTTTCACTTCATCACTGTTCAACTGCTCAGCGAATAAACACCACAAAGGCTGATTTTGAAGTGATCTCCACTGATGAATACCCTATTTAAAATAACACTTTTTTTAATTAATATTTGTTTTCAAGAACACTGGTACAAAAGACACTGCAGCAACATATACTGGGGCGTTTATTCAAGAAAATCAAAATCCTCCAGCATAAATAATTCACGTTGCTGCATTGTAAAGCCTGGTGTTAATTATTAACGTTAAAGCAGTCTGGCTGTGATCCACAGTAGCATTGGGTCACCTCCCCCATTACTGTACACAGCGCATTATGGAACATTTAAAACCTGCAAACCACTATTACTTAATGGCTAACACTGGCACTGCAGATGTTTGTGAACTTGGCATAAGGCGAAATGTAAATTATAAACATCGGCAGTGACAAGATCAGGCATCATTGCTACAGTATGTGATGAGTAAAACTACCACTATCTATATATTTTAGAGCCCATGAGAACTATTTTTTGTAAGTTAAAAGTTTGTTATATTTTTTTTATAATTGAGCCCTCATCTTGCCGTACACACGGAGTACATGCATGCATGTGGCGCGGTGGAATGAATACCCAGGTATACATGCTTTCATACAACACTTTTCTGCAGATGCTGGAGCATGTACAAGCATGCAGGTACCATCGTTCGGTGTCTCCCCTGGCTGTGAAGTTTGTACAAAAAACCTTCGACTCTGACTCCGACTCCTCAATTTATGGAACATCCGGCTCCTTATATTACATACTGTATAATAATATACAATCACTGTATTATCTTTTAGTGTTCATGCCAGCAAATAAGTTAACATTTTAAGCATTACAAAAAATCTTCCAAAACCTAGGGGGCGACTAGTACGCCAAACATAAAGTTGTTGACACATGGGTGAGATATAATTAAGGCCAAGGCCTAATGCTTTATTGATATGCACAATGCTTTCACCCTTCTCATACTTCTTTATCACTTCTAACTTCTTTTCTAGAGATGTAGAATTATTGGAGTGTTTATCATCACTGTTATCGCTCGATTGATTGCACTTAGGAGCCATTATTTACCCTTTATACACAAAATCACCCCAAAAAAAGGAAATACACACTGTTTTGTTTGAAGCTCTATTTTATCTTATTAATCGTTTGATAGAATAATAAAATAAGCTATCAAATAACAGGATACAGTAAGTATAGCAACATATTTTATTTTGTAAAAAACAGAATTATTATTGACTTCTGCTGCGTAGCCTAGGCCTAAATCTTAAGCGTACAAGTCCGCAGTCCGAGCCTAGGCTCAAAAGTTGCACATTATTTTGGGGGGTCAACTTGTTCAGTGAACACCTCTAATTGTGGGGAGTTGACTTATACACTGAAATATACAGTATATTTAGTTGGGAATCGGTAAATTTTGTAATAAATACTCCAGTAATCTAATACTGTTTCTGACTTCACAGCCCTGCTGGACACAAGAGTGCTGCTAATGCGAGAGTGTTTTTTGCTTACCGCTATTACTCAACTCACCCAAGTAAGCACTTCGATTTAAAATAACCTGTGTGAGAAAAAGCTCAGCTGTCACTATCAGAGAAGTAATAGTTCCTTTTTAAGGTAGGTTGAGGTCACAGTTTGTACTTTCTTATATTATTTGGGTATCTTTGTGGTGTATTTATTCATTAATTAATCGTGCCAGTTGACAAACAAATTAGAAAATTGAGTCCAAAATAAATAATTGAGATCTATGATGGGAGTCTAGGATGCATGCACAGCAAAATGCTGATCTAGCCAATCATATGGTGTGTATAATATCACCTGTCGGAAACAAGGAAAGTTTTACTTTGCTATTTTATCGGTGTCAGGATACACTAATATGCCCAACACGCAGAACTTAAGTAAAAAAAAAATCCAGAGCCTGATTTCGGGAAGGGCACTTGTAGATTATTTAAATAAATAATCCAGGCACAATAACCACTACAGCTCAGTTATGGTGCCGTTAGTGCCAGGATCCCACCCCAGTGTAAGTAGTCATACCGTTTAAGAACAGTTTGACAACTTACCTGGGGTCTGATGGGATATAGGGCATAGGAGCAGTGGTGTGTGTTAGGGGTGAAGTGTGTGAGCGGTGAAGTGTGTGTGTGAGTGCGGCAGTGTATGTCAGGGTTGCAGTGTGTGTGTTAGGGGGCAGTGTATGTGTGGGGCAGTGTGTGTGTGTGTGTGTGTGTGTGTGAGGGTGGCAGTGTGTGTATGGGGGCACTGTATGTGTTTTTGGGGCAGTGTGTGTATGGGGGGCACTGTATGTCTGTGTGGGGCAGTGTGTATATGGGGAGCACTGTATGTATGGGGGGCACTGTATGTCTGTGTGGGGCAGTGTGTATATGGGGAGCACTGTATGTATGGGGGGCACTGTATGTATGTGTGGGGCAGTGTGTGTATGGGGACAGGGCCGGACTGGGGATTCCAAAGCAGCCCTGGAAAAAAAAATATATGCCAGCCCCATAAGTCATTGCACCATATATTGTTGCATGTAATATGTAAGGCTATGTCTTGCCACCCTAGATGATTGATATATATATATATATATATATATATATATTGCTTTTTCCAATATAAAATATTGGTCCTTTCAGAGTAAAATTTTTAATTATACAGTAAGCATACTCACATGCAGACACAGACAATCTCACTGACACAAGCTGATTGATACACAGCCTCATAGAC